GAGACAGAAATAGGGCGGTCAAGTTAGAGTCGACATAATTGGAATTCCCACTTACAAAGATTGTAATAGGGAAACGCCATAAGCCATAAGTGGCGCGCTCTATAGGAAAACCGTGGGTGCTATTCCATAATAATTCTATAAGCGACATTCAAAGCGTTTTAAATTCGTTTGTTTTTCTTTTCTTTTCTTTTTTTGGTCTCTTTTTACACAATTACGTCGCCAATGAGCTGATATTTCTGTGTTTGACATTAAATATGTCATTTAAAATTGTCATCTTTCTTTAAGAAGCAAGAAATGAAATTTGCGATTAAAAAAGGTGTTTTGGAAATATTCCATTGATCATCAGTATGTATAAATGTTTTTTTTTTGTACTTTTAAATTAGTTCCCAATCTGTATGTAGACGCTTTCGGATAAAAAAAAAATGGTTTCCAATAGACGAAGTTATGAAGTAACAAACATAAAAAAAAAACCGAATTAAGAGTCTTCGTCTTCCTGAAGTCGATTGAATATGCATTATTATCAAAGGTCAAGTATCATATTCTCTTTTTTTTATGCAACTTAGAATGGCAAACAAGCTGACGGCCCACCTGATGGAAAGTGCTAACCGTCGCCTATAGACAGGAGCAGTACCATGCACATAATAGAGTAAACTGTTTCGCCCATGATACCCCCCATGCGTTGCCATTCCTGAGGACTCAGGTGTTATTCCTCTGTACACTGTAAATTCACTGTCATAAACCACCCGTCAAATCAAAACACAGCCGTGCAAACACAACTACTTCACGGTTGAAACACGAATGGGACAGAGGTACCCAAGCAATCGACTTTTGTACAAAGTCTCCCAATACGTTATCTATATATTGAGTTCCTTTGGACATTGATGACCAGCCATTTCAATATCGCCTATACCAGTTTTTTTTAATAGATGATAATGGAATGGTAACCCCGCTTGCACTATCGATATACACTTGCGGGGCACCAGTGAGGGACGATTGGTGAGGATGAAAAGGCAGGTCAGTTAGCTCATCGTGAAGAATTCAACGATAAATTAGACACGGTGCTTTTCAGGGGGAACCGCGTGGAGGTCGACCTGATAATGTATATTGATAGCAATAGGGACTATTTCACCGTTACTAACAATTTATTTATTAATTTATTATTATTTCTCACCACAAACAATTTAGGACTTAATATCTATAACTTGCAAAACATTTTAACAGTATTATTTGTGGGAGCTGGTGCCTGTACTAGGTGTTAAACCTGTATTACAAGTCACCAGGACCCTTGCCTCGAACAGTACAAATTATACAGATGATTCCCCCTCCCTCCACCCTCCAATATCAGTCGGATATTCATCACGAGCGAGATCTCCATTTTATTTGTCATCGAATTAATATATATATATATATATATATATTCTATCTATCCTATTTAAGAGCTGTGCTCTTGTCGGTGGAGCTCTTGCCACTCACTACGATTTGCAGCGAGTCTCTTCACCTCTTGATACGACACGACACCAACTCCTTCCTTGATCTGCCTGATGTAACTATGTCTCGGTCTCCCTCTCCCCCTCCTTCCTTCTATCTTACCTTCTATTATAATGTACATAAGTTCGTCGTGCCGTATCAAGTGTCCCAACATTTTTCCCCTTCTGTCCTCAATAGTTCTAATAATTTGTCTCTTTTCCTTAACCCTAAGTAGGACCTCCTCATTGCTAATTCGATCCCTCCAGTTAATTTTCTCCATCCTTCTCCAGCACCACACTTCAAAGGCTCTAAGTTTATCCATTTCCTTCTGAGTTAATGTCCACGTCCCACATAGATATTGTCACTACAATATACACGAGTAGATATTGCTATATATTTTTGATATTACTATATATAATTTTTTTTTATGGGTAATAATGGTATGGTAACCCCGTCTGCGCTATCAGTATACAATGGCGGGGTACCAGTGATAGATGACTAATGAGGATGAAAGTAGGTCAGTTAGCCCATCCTGACGAATTCCACTAGAATTAGCCACGATGGTTTCCAGGGGGAACCACGTGGAGGTCGACCTGACAGGGTATATTGTTAGTAATGGGGCTATTTGACCCTATTACTAATAATCCCTTTCCCCTCACTATATATGTAAAACTTTGTCTTAAAATCTATTTTCCGTCATTCACACATAATAACGTTCAAGTCGACGATCTCGTGGCTCTAGAAATAGACGGACAGCAGTACAAACTCGTCTATTTATATATATATATATATATATATACATACATATATAAATATTGAATGCATACTTTAAACGCTTCTAAACGATGTGTAGGCGAATTCATTGAATGATTTTAATGATGATATCCTGTAAGTACTTAATCCACCTCCGATATCACGATGACGTCTGTGATTGACTTAAAAATGACGTCGTTATACAGTCATAGACATAAAACAATTTTTTTTTTAATGGATGATAATGGAATGGTAGCCCCACCCGCGCTATCGGTATACACCGGCGGGACACCAGTGAAAGATGATAGGTGAGGATGAAGCAGGTCAGTTAGCCCATCGTGACGAATTCAACAAGAATTGTTCATGATGGTTTCCAGGGGGAACCACGTGGAGGTCGACCTAATAAGGCATATTGCTAGCAATGGGGCTGTCAAACTCCATTACTAACAATCCCTTTCCCCCCAGATAAAACAATATTAAGGGTCGCGACCTTGAAATGACCAAAGAATGACGTCTTTTAGCGTTACTGACATCACCTTACCGTCATTTTGAAGTCAATCACAGACGTCATCTATTGTTTTTAAACATAAAAAAAACGTATATAATGATATAACATTAATCAAGTGGATAACTTTGGGCGTTGCTGGATGAGAACTCATTTAGAGTTAAACTCGCCTTTGTACATTTATTTACCTCTGATATATTTTTATGTATTAACGGTATGTATAATAAAGTATAAATAAAATAAAATAAATAAAAATAAATTAAGATTTTTTTTATACAATTTAGAATGGCAAACAAGCTGACGGCCCACCTGATGGAAAATGGAAACTGTCGCCTATATACATGAGCAGTACCATGGACATAACAGAGTATACTGTTTCACCCATGATACCCCCCATGCGTTGCCACTCCTGAGGACTCAGGTGTTATTCCTCTGTACCCAGTAAATTCACGCCATATCCCACCCTTCAAACCGAAACACAGCCATGCGAACACAACTTTGAACAACACGGTTGAAACACGAATGGGACAGAGGTACCCAAGCAATCGACTTTTGTACAAAGTTTCCCTCTGGTAAGTATGTATATCTACAAAAAAATATAAAAAAAGAATCTGACACGTGTCATGAAGCAGCTGTGCTTACATGGCTGTGTTTCATATGGCGACTTCGTTCACGTAACTTTTTTATTTTTATTGAGTGGGATGAGCAGCCTTACCTCTCCATTCCATATAATACAAACATAACAAATTTTATAGTGATTGATTAATCTATCAAGACGCTATAAGGAAACAAACGAGTTTTCATATATATATATTTTTAATGGATGATAATGGAATGGTAACCCCGCCTGCGCTATTGGTATACACTGGCGGGGCACGAGTGAGGGATGACTGGTAAAGATGAAAAGGCAGGTCAGTTAGCCCATCGTGGCGAATTCAACGATAAATTAGACACGATGGTTTCTAGGGAGAAGCGCGTGGAGGTCGACCTGATAGAGTATATTGATAGCAATGGGAACTAACCTCCGCATTATTAACAATCCCTTCCCCCCCGACCTTTTATATTTATAACATTAACATTTATAATATTTATAAATAAGTAGAGCTTATAGCTAATTAAAATAAATCCAAGTATAATAGACCTTTGGATTAAGGAATTGTTAATAATGGGGAGGTTAGTCCCCCATCGCTATCAATGTACTTTATCAGGTCGACCTTCACGCGGCTCCCCCTTGGAAACCATCGTGACTAATTTATCGTTATATTTGTCATCACGGGTTAACTGACCTGCATTTTCATCTCACCTATCATCCTTCACTGGTGCCCCGCCAGTGTATACCGATAGCGCGGGCGAGGTTGCCATTCCATTATCATCCATTCCATTCAAGAGGAATAGGACATAAGTCCTCAGGAATGTCAACGCATGGGGGGTATCATGGGCGAAACAGTATACTCTGTTATGTCCATGGTACTGCTCATATCTATAGGCGACGGTTACCACTTTCAATCAAGTGGACCGTCAGCTTGTTTGCCATTCTAAGTTGCATAAAAAATCATGGTAACTTCTTGCTATATTTCGAATTAGCTAGCCCAAGACTTCACCCGCGTGAATCAGTAAAAGTATATTATGTTCTAAATTAGGATGTAATCTTTTCGTGTAGGTTGGTATTAAACATTAAATTTCGTTCAGAAGTTTTTGAGCAAATTTTTTGTTACCAGTTTCAATGGTAACTGAGGAGGCAAAAAAGCAAGGGGCCCACATGTTGGTATAACTGCTTAACTTTTTACCAGAGCGTATGAACGCCTGTAATACCAGCGGTATTACACGCTAATTGTTAATGTAACATATGTACATTCATCCATACATAGATCTTAAAAAATTTCTAGATTTATAACAGTAGTAGAACTTTCCTTGTATTGGTGTATTACTAAGTTTCTTCTAATGAATGATAATGGAATGATAACTGTGAGGGCATCAGTGAGTGATGATAGGTGAGGATGGAAGCAGGTTAGTTGGTCCATCTTGATGAATTCATTAAGAATTAGTCACAATGGTTTCCAGGAGGAAACAATTAGGGTAAAACTGTTAGGGTATACTGCTAACAATGGTGCTGTTTGACCTCATTACTAATAATCCTTTTCCCCCTATTTTAGTAAGTTAACATAATTGTCTCTTATAACATCATGGGAAAGAAAAGGAGTGAGATATATCGTTCTCTGTCATTGTAGCGTTGTGGTATTATTTATTTCATATATTTGTTTGTTTTTTGTTGCAGGACATTTCCTATACCTACCAGTGGATCCCACCATGGAGAACATGGTGATAAAATCACCACCATTCAGGGGTCTATGGGAATTTTGTAAGGTGAGAAATCTCTATATTTAATACCCACAGAAATATTACTGATTTGGAAACATGCTGGATTTTTGGACATACAATTATTTGGTATAAACTGACTTAAACTTGCTAGAAAAGATGCAAAAAGTAGGCAAAGGTTGTCATTGAACTAGTGGTGAAATATGGTGAGAAACCTCAAGATAGACTAATGCCAGAAACGATAACCCAGGATAGTACATCCAGACGTAGGACTGTGGGGCAACCCGAATTCAATAAGCCAAAGAAATGGTAAATGGCAAACAAGCTGACGACTACTTGATGGAAAACAGAGACCGATGTTTATAGGTCTGAACTACATTGTTCTCCTCCATTGGCACCCCATCATAACCATAGTTGAATGAAAATATCAAGTGATAATCGATGAAATTGAAATAATTACCGGTGCATTTAACTAAGATACCACTCATACTATGTCTTATCAGTACATATTAGGATAGAAATTTCAAGATTTAATAATTAAAACACGATAATAATAAACTTTCAGTACTAAGTCAACACCAGAACGCTCATACGTAAAATGAAAATCTCATAATTTTTATTGTTTTTGGACCCAAGTCCCTTTGGTGAATGTTATTCAGTTTAGCTGACAGAACACTCACGTCAAAAGATGGTTACAAGATTGATTTTAACCTGAATATTTATTTATATAAAGATTCCAAATAATAATACTTACGTACCACTTTCTTCACCAGTTCGAGGCGAAGCTGCATCAGAGCAAGATGCAGAATGCAAGCATAAGACTTGTCTCCGAGTCCACAATGTCCGAGGTGCAGTGGATTCTACAGGAGATCACGGGGAATAATTTTGAAATGTAAGTAATTTGAATTTAAAGACTATTTTTCTATGTTATGACAACCTGGTTAATGATTTAACACACCCACTACATCTTCTGGTGGTCGGAATTTCGAGCCCACGACCATTAGAAAAAAGTGTAACGTTTAAAAGATATGTTACAAGTTGCCGTGTCTGAGCTTAATTATTTAGTCAAATGACATATGTTAATAATATAGTAATTTATAAAACAACAGCCCTACCCTCTGACATTGATGCGCCTTTCCACTTTGGGTTTACTGGAAGACAACTCCTGCAGAGTTAAGCTCGCCTTTGTACATTTGCTTTCCTCTATCACATTTCTGTGTATACTTTATTAAGTAAATAAATAAACAGTTCCGAAGTTGGCCGTGTGGTCCCGGCATAAAATAGGCCACCCCCTCCTTTTCCATAGGTGTCGTAAGAATCGACTAAGGCAAGGCGAGGGATGGGCAACAGCGTCCCTCTTAAAACATCTCTAAAGCCTAATTACGGTTGCCAACCCGCTTGCCTGGCTTACGTTCAGCAGTGGACAGTTAAAGCTTGAGATGATGATGATGATAAAATTAGAACTGGCTTTATAATAAAAAAAGATATAGTTCATAATAAAATAAATAAGTAATAGAATAAGAATATCCCAAATTACATAACTGCTCTACTCAAATTGACTTTTTTTCAGGTGGTACCCAATGAGGTTCATGATCGGCAAGGTCCAACAAGAGGTCCGGATCATCATCGAGATCACGCGGCCTAATCACATCAGCATATCGCAGACGCTGCCCCACATAGCCATAGACAACATCCGGATGGTGGAGTGTCTACCAGAACCGCCAGTCTTCGATGGAGAATGTCAATATGGACAATTGAAATGTAATATAATTAATGTAAGTATCCCTTTTTTTCTTTACTCGTTACCAGAGGGAGACTTTGTACAAAAGTCGATTGCTTAAGTACCTCTGTCCCATTCGTGTTTCTACCGTGAAGCAGTTGTGTTTGCATGGCTATATTTCGGTTTGAAGGGCGGGATATGGCGTGAATTTACTGGGTACAGAGGAATAACATCTGAGTCCTCAGGAATGGCAACGCATGGGGGGTATCATGGGTGAAACAGTATACTCTGTTATGTCCATGGTACTGTTCATGTCTATAGGCGACGGTTACCATTTTCCATCAGGTGTGCCGTCATATATATATATATATATATATATATATATATATATATATATATATATATATATATATATATATACTAATACTAGCTGACCCCGTAAACGTTGTTTTACCACTTATTGCGAAATATAAAAATCGCGATTAACAAACAGACATTGATCGTAAAACGATGAAAATTTGAAGTTGTATGTATTTTTCAATGCTAAATCACATTTAAATAAAAATGGAAAAATTTGACAAAAATATAAAAAAAAATTTTTGGGGAAGGTCACCCTTATCATTGAGGGGTATAAAAATAGATGTTGGCCGATTCTCAGACCTACCGAATACGCACACAAAATTTCATAAAAATCGGTAAAGCCGTTTCGGAGGAGTTTGGTAACAAACACCGCGACACGAGAATTTTATATATAAGATATAAAAATATTGTATATTAATATATAAAATTGAATTCGAAATCAAAATTGTTCAGTGTATTTCCAAAGCCATATCATTGATTTACGATATACCGCCACATGCAGAGAGGAAACCGGAAATTCGAAGTGACGCAAATATTTCCTAGTCGTCAGTGAATGCAAGTGATAGTCTAAACTCGATCTCGTAAGACGGAGTATGCGATTTCTTATCACTAAGTCTAGATCGTATTATAGTTACTTCGTTTAATATTAAAATATCTACATTGTGAAGAATGGTTTTTGAGTGGCGACCTCGTACGCGCAAACGCAGTGTAGAACGACCCACCGCTAGATGGAGTGACGGCCTCAAATGCATCGCAGGGAGTCAGTGGATGCAGGTGGCTCGGAACCGTTCCTTATGGCGGTCTATGGGGGAGGCCTATGTCCAGCAGTGGACGGGTAATGGCTGGAATGACTATGATGATTTATATAAAATTATTATTTCTTGCCTAGTTTACTATAATCTCTGGAATAAAATAGAGATGTAATATATGGTAATGTTACCCCAGCACTTAATAGAGAAAAATAGAAAAAATACCAATGAATGAATGGTTTATTTTCTCATCACAAAAGGTAGAATAAAGTGACAACTTGAGGTACAATTTGATATGAAGACCAATTTTGTGAGAGACTGGTGCTTGCGGTAGGTTTAGAAGAACCTGTGTTACAAATATAAATACATTGATTATATAGATAGAGTGTCTCCATAGAAATGCTTCGAGGAAAACGGGTTAACTCTCTCATAAAATTTTACGTGATAATTAAATAATTAAATTAATGAATATTCCTTTATAACTTCTATACTTATTTTGTCTTACAATTTCTGCATATTTTTAATGCATAAACAGGTACTCATTTTATTTTTTTATTTATTAAATAATACGTCAAGATACATTTTATGCGTAAGTATATAGAATACTAATAGGACAATTGAGTCAGTTAATTTGACAATTAACTGACAAAAAGCTAACCCATTTTTTAGGCTCGATGCTCTATTTAAGTATATATAATAAATATATAATAAGTATGTATAATATATGTAAGTAAATATATATAATAAATATATAATTCTACATTTCGCAGAAGGAGTCCTGTATAAAGCTGCAACAAGTGTGCGATCTGGTGAAAGACTGCGACGACGGTAGTGATGAAAACCAGAATTGTGGTAAGATGTAGTTCAATTCTTCATCCAATAAAAATATAGCAAATTTTTACATTTAATATCCATAACTTGATAACAATAACCTTCTTTTATTAGATATACTTATTGCGCCAAATAGCTACCATCTTTTTCTTTTCTCCTCTACCAAAAGGTTGTCTGGGAGAGATTGCTTTTTTTTATACAACTTAGAATAGCAAACAAGCTGACGGCCCACCGGATGGAAAGTGGCAACCGTCGCCTATAGACAGGAACAGTACCATGGACATAACAGAGTATACTGTTTCGCCCATGATACCCCCCATGCGTTGCCATTCTTGAGGACTCAGATGTTATTTCTCTGTACCCTATGAATTCACGCACATATGGCAGTGAATTTACAGGTTACAGAGGTACCTGAGTCCTCAGGAATGACAACGCATGGGCGGTATCATGATGAGTGAAACAGTATACTCTGTTATGGCCATAGTACTGATCCTGTCTATAGGTGACGGTTATTACTTTCCATCAGTTGGGTCGTCAGGTTGTTTGCCATTCTAAATTGCATAAAGAAATATTTAAATTCAGTCATAATTTATTACTTGCAAATAGTCTTCAATTACAAGTACAAGATATTTAAAAAATTGGTTTTATGGTAAACCGCCGTGTCGTTCCCGGTATACGAGTATAAAGTGTCACCCTTTCCTTTCCCGTGGGTATCGTAAGAGGCGACTAAGGGGGCTTATGGTAGAGAAATGGGCAGTAGCGTCCCTCTTAAAACATCTGTAAAATCCTAAATTCGGTTGCCAACTCGCCTGCTAAATGTGGCAACTACTGGCAAAACTGCCCTTATGGGGACTGCTTATGTTCAGCAGTGGACAGTAAAGGGCTAAAATAATAAATGGTAAACATAATGCGATTCGCTTTGTGTAACGTGGTTGATGATATATTACTAATGCATTATTATTGTTTACAGATAAAATGCCGTATGGATCGTATTGTAATTTTGAACAAGACAATTGCGGTTTCGAAGACGTACCTCAGTAAGTATTTATAACGAGTATAAGTTAATAATATCGCCAATCCTTCCGCTTGAATTAGTAAAAAAATATAGACCATAGAAGTGGACCTAGAATTGACCCTTGAGGAACACCAAAAAATTTGTTATTTTTTTATACCACTGAGGTGACAAACAAGCATACGATCGACCTAAAGCGGTTGCCGTAGCCTAAGAACGTCTGTAATACGATGTAGGGGTATAACGCGCGCGTTGCCGACCCTGAAGAAATCTCTTTACCTCCCTTTTAAAGAACCCCATGCTGTAGTCTCTTGAGTTCATTCCGTAACCTGAGCATGCGTAGGAGAAACCATCTTAGAAATCGCGTTTTACGCGACCATCTAGGCCAGTGTTTCATAATCTTTTTTGTGCCATGCCCCACTTGAACATTTGTAAAATTTTTATGCATAATTTTTCCCGACAAAGTTTACTTGACAACTCTAATCGCCCGGTTGATATTTTGGTAACGTCAAACGAAATTATACCTAATAAATATTTACAGCATTTTTTTTATTTACTTTTTTGTTATATTTAAATTATTTATATTTATATTTAATTTAAATTGCTTGGAGCAAGAGATTTAAAATCGCTTCAAGTCCATTTTTTTATTGCCTTCCTCCATAACTATCAAATTGCCCCCCTGTGGGGCGTGGGCCCCACGTTGGGAAACACCGATCATGAGGGTTAACTCCCTGTTGATGGAGCTATATGATGTTAGAAATTGATATATTTAATAGTAATTTTGTTACGATTGTTTGTAGTTATTTGTTTATTATAATTTGGAAAAGATTAACCAACAAATAAACCTTCGTCCAGTTTTGCGGTCATCTGGAGGAAAAAGCTAAGATAGCTTCCAAAAAGTTGGGGGTGCTCAATAGGGTGAGACGGTATTTCACGCCAGAAAACCGCCTGAAACTGTATAAAGCTCAAGTGAGGCCACACATGGAATACTGTTCTCACCTGTGGGCAGGAGCGCCACAGTACCAACTCCTTCCGTTAGACCGCATTCAAAGTCGGGCAGCTCGAATTGTTGACGATCGGCGTCTTACTGTCCGGCTCGACCCACTGAAACTGCGTAGAGATGTTGCATCTCTGTGCATCTTCTACCGAATTTATCATGGGGAGTGCTCTGAAGAATTGTTCGGATTGATACCTGCTGCAGATTTTCACCATCCATAAACTACCGCCATAAACTAAAATTTCATCCCAACCATCTGGACGAGTGGCGGTCCTCCACCGTGCGTTTTTCAAGGCACTTTCTTCCACGCACAACCACTCTTTGGAATCAACTTCCAGCAGCAGTATTTCCGAACCGATACGACAACATAACCTTCAAGAAAAGAGCATATTCCTTTTTAAAAGGCCGGCAGCACACCTGCAATGCCGTAGGTGTTGTGGGTGACCATGGGCGGCGGTAGTCACTTACCATCAGGTGAGCCGCATGCTCGTTTGCCCCCTGTGTTGTAAAAAAAAAAAAAAAATAAACCTTTGGTAAAACATGCAATAATTTTGATCTTTCTTTTTCAGGCCAATTTTAAAATGGTCAAGGCACAATGGTCCAACGCCAACTGACAAGACGGGGCCCAATTACGACCACACATGCGGCCCCTTAGACTTGTACCCTACCCAAGTGGTACCCCCTCTATTCCCAGCTCACATGAACTACTCCCTATCCCAATGCGTGGGGTACTATTTCTATGTGAACATGAATGTCACTGGCCCTAACAAGGAGAAAGCAGATTTCGCCTCGACAGCCGTTATGAGAACTGTAGTTTTCAATCCACCTCCAAAAGTGCATGGGAATATAACATCTAAATATTACAATTGTTGTATGGTATGTAAATTTAATTATTTTAAACAAAATTTTTAAGAAAACTTTCATTTGTGAAAATGGTTTTGAAATATAACCTTTATTCTCAACAGATAAGGTTTTATTACCAACAAAATGGACGCAACTACGGCTCTCTCAGCGTTGACGTGGTAGAGTTGACTACGAGAGGTAATATCACTACGTCGTTATGGTTCTCCACAAAGGACAAAGGTGAAAATTGGTACAGGGCTGCTATTTTCTTACCGAATGTTACTAGAAGGTAAGAATTTAAAATAAATTTTTTTGTATAAAACAAATAGGTCCTAAAGTTGTACCCTAAAAACAACTCGTTTAAAAAAACATCTGATTAAGGTTATCTTTATGTAATAAAACAAATTACATTCTTTTTGAATTGTTAACATATTTTTATTACAAATAAATACAATTTATTCCATGCATTTGTTCCAGATACTACCTTCAATTCAAGACCCGTATGGGTATGCGAATATACTCTGACTCAGCCATAGACGATTTCTCTATGGCTCCTGAATGTTTCGGGCTCAATATAGACCCTGACGAATTAGGCGACTATAATTATTATGATCCTATATTTGAAGAGAAAACTACGCCTCATCCTGGATTTGCGGATAAAATATGTAAGTATTAATCATTAATGAGAAGTATATAGGATGACCCAATACTAAATGGAGTGACAACCTCAAATGCATTGCATGGAGTCAGTGAATGCAGGTGGCTTAGGACCGTTCCTTATGGCAGTCTATAGGGTAGGCCTATGTTCAACAGTGGATACATACTGGCCGAAATGATGATGACGACGAGAAATATATATAGAGAAGTGTAGACTGAAAAATGATGTAATGACGAAGATTGGAAAGATGTAACAAAGTCATTTAGAAAGATAGATGAAAGAATTACGAAATGTATTAAGCTTAATTGAGTAGATATGTCAGTAAGGAACGCCTCAGATGGGCATATACCGGTCAAATAGGTGGCATATTAAATAGAGGCAAAATTAGAAATAATGGTAATCAAAGACAAAGATTTCTTCACTTGTTTTCTCCACATATGAAACTACGAAAGAGGAGACGAGAGAGGAATCAGGGCAGTAATAGCAATTCATTGCTTTTACCTTCCCTAAAGGGAAACAGACTAAACGTGTAAACATAAACGAAATTGTTAAAGAATTAAAGACGAAACCACTTTCTTCTGCTGTGAATGATATTTTTAACGAAGTTAGTACAGCATTTTTTTTGTTTAGTCTTTCCTGGACTTTTTGAATACCTAGTGAATTATTCTTTCCGCATAGACTATCGCTTCACAACCTGCGGAGCGACTGGTCGTTTTGGTCCCAACCAGACCATGTGTGATGCTGCATACAACAACACGCCCGTCGCTGTATCCGTCATACAGACCCCACCTTACCAGGGCATCCAAGTTTGGGAGGTGCCTGCTGAAGGATTATATACGTAAGTATCAAATTTAAGAGTGGAAGTTTCGTATGCCAGATTTTTTTTTTAATTTTGACTTATGCTTTTAGAATCTAATTCTTCATCCACAAAGTTGAAATAATTATTGTAATTATATAAGACTTTATTCGATATGATATTTAAAGCTTACTTTTCATCGCGAATCTATATTATATTACTCAGACTAGCTACTCATATTATGAAATATGCTAAATTGGGAAATCTCTTAAAAGTAATTTGTACCTCTGTCTCATTCGTGTTTCTACCGTGAAGCAGTTGTGTTTGCATGGCTGTGAATAACACGTGAGTCTTCAAAAATGGTAACGCCCCCTGCGTTGCTGCATCATGGGCGAAACAGTATACTCTGTTATGTCATGGTACTGCTCATGTCTATAGGCGACGGTTACCACTTTCCACTAGGTGGGCCGTCAGCTTGTTTGCCATTCTAAGTTGCATAAACAAACAAAAAAAGTATATCGTCCTCCCTAAATATCTCACAGTAGATTCCTTCCACAGTATAATCGCGACGGGCGCGTCTGGAGGGCTAGGGTCCGCGTGGGCGGGAGTATCCCACGGGGCACAGGCCCGGGGTCTCTTCGAACTGCATCGGTCTGAACGTCTGTACATGCTGGTTGGTCAGCAAGGACTGAACGCTTGTAAGAAGGTAAGTACCACATGACATATCAGGTGAAGCCTAACTGCTGTTGAAAATTTACTTGCCAAGTGTGTCAATTACTCGCAAAACCCCACAATAGAGAGGAAGACCTACGTTCAGAAGTGGACAGTTAACGGGTTCATAATACTTTACTTACATCTAATACATCCAACTCTGTCTAACGATTTACTCTATGTTAGCAAGTTCCTTTAACATTCCCATATTTCTCAAAGTTAAAAGAAATATATTAAAAAAATATATGATATAATTAGTTATGTATAAATTTAAGTTTATTTAGTTCTTTTTGTTTAAAAATTGTCATATTATTGTACACCGCTCTGCCCGTTGACATTGATGCTCCTTTCCACTTTAGGTATTGCTGGAACAGAGTTATTTTAGAGTTAAGCTCGCCTTTATATATTTACTTACTTCTGTCATATTTTTATGTACTATGTGTACAATAAAGTATAAATAAAATAAAATAAATATATTTATATAGAACTTTGTAAACTGTCATTTGTTTGTCCATAGACACTGTCAGCCCAAGAAAGCCAAGAGTGCTCGAGGAAGCAAAATGATTCTCAGCTGGTGTTCACCAGCAAAACCCACGAAGTGAGGAACACCCAGGTGACGGATGGCGGGGGAGGGGGTGGCGGTGCAACTTACGTCTTCTTGGTGAGTAAATTATATCCATTTGCCTTTAGGCCAGTCGTATGCAATTTATATTTTAAAACGGGGGGAAAGGTCCATCAAAATCTTATAGAGAACAGAGAAAAAGGAGAGTGAGAATGAAAACTCTACATATTTTGAAATAATATTTTATAATATTACATCTTCTGCTGATTCTTTTTTAATTAATGATAGTCAATATGATGATATTGGTGATGAAATATATTTATCAACAAATGATCTAATGTCTAATAACAATGAGGGACATAGTAACATTAATGGTGGATATACCAACCTAACACAATATAATGCTAAATTAGCAATTAATAAATCTCTTATTTTACAAACTACCCAAATAGCAATTTTTCGATATAAAAACATTCATCTTCAGTCGTTCTCGACGTAAGTAACACCCTCCTACTATGTCGGATAGTTGACGTACATTTGCTACAGTCTCAGGACGTCATTTACGACGTCACAGTACGTATTTGTTTCAGTCTCGTGACATCTTTTATGGTCCACCATAGCACCGCATATTTGTGGCTCTTACGATGTCTTTTATGGATGTAAAAAGAACTATCTGCTAGCCTCTTAATTTTAGATCCATTCCTTGAACATATTCCGTACAATATATGTATTTATTTGGTCTACATTTTGGTACATCTGAACAAAGTTGCAACGAAACCAATATCGTATATTTATTTGGTATAATTTATTTAGATATTTATTAAACACAAATGTATAAACTACTTTTTCGTGTCCGGTATTTAGTCCACTCTTATTGAATCATTCCAGCTTCCTTACGCTCTTGTTCTGTAATATGTATTCATCTCCCAGCTGGACAAGGAAGGCCAGGCGCACCCCCTGCTGGTGGGCGGCGGCGGTGGTGGCATTTCAGTGGGCATCTTCCGCGACGACGGCTCGCAGCACGCGCGCCCACACACCAACGCTACGCCCGAGTCCGGCTATATGTACGGGAAGCCAGGACGGACCTCGGGTACGTATATACATATATTCCATCATATTTTTTTAATGGGTGAAAATGGAATTGTAACTCCACCTGTACTAACGGTATACGCTGGCGGGGCACCAGTGAAGGGTGATCGATGAGGATGAAAACAGAACAGTCAGCCCATCATGATGAATTCATCAGGAACTGCGTGGAGATCGACCTGGTTAGGTATCTTACTAGCAATGGGATTCTTAGTCTCCATTATTACTAATTTCTTTCTCTTCCATCATCATAACAGCCACAATTGTCCACTGCTGAACATAAGCTTCCTCCTAGTGGGGGTTTTCCAGTAATTGCCGGTTCGCAGGCGGATTGGCAACCGCAGTTAAGGTTTTGGTGCTGTTTTAAGAGGGACGCTGCTGCCCATCTCACGCTCTCTCTTAGTCGTCTCTTACGACATCCACAGTAATGGAAGAGGTGACCTATTCTATGCCGGGACCACACGGACAATATACTCCATTCCATAGTTCCTTGCAAATAAACTAATATGGAAAAAAACTAAGTTTTCAACCAACTTAAGCTCAGGGCACCAGTGAGAGATGATAGGTGAGAACGAAAAGGCAGGCCAGTTAGCCCATCCTGATGAATGGACATGGCATTCACCACGATGGTTTCCAGGGGGGACTACGTGGAAGTCAACCTGATGGGGTATGTCGCTACTAATGGGACTGGTACTCCGTATTACTAACAATCCGCCCCCCTGCTATCAATAGGGGTGGTAGATCCCATCCTTTCCCAAGTAGATGCTTGGTTGCCATTGTAAGTAGCGTAATAAAAGCTTATGAGTGTATGGGTGGCGCGGCAGGCGCTGGCGGCGGCTGGAGCGCGCGCGCGGGGCCGACGACGCCGGGCTTCGAGGCCGTGCGCGGCGCCGCCGTGCGCGACGGCGGCGCGGGCGGCGCGGCCTGCGCCGGCGGCGCGCACGGCGGCTTCGGCGGCGGCGGCGGCGGCTGCCTGCGCGGCGGCGGCGGCGGCGGCTGGCTCGGTACTCTCACCTTACACCTTACGCGTACAGGCTCCGAGGCGAGGTGCACTTCCTCCTGCGCTCCGAGGATTCCGTACATAAACATTTTTTTTGCCTAAAATGTTGTTTATTGCAATTATAATACGAAATATAGACGCGCAATATATATTATTAATGAAAAATTGTGCAACGTAAAAATAAATAATGAAACCCATTCATATGATGTATGTCCTTAGTAAAAAAATCATTTATTTTCATTACAACGAGACACAATAATAAAAACGCACCACAAGAATATATATTACACATACAAAAGGCGGTATTAACGTTCAAGCAATCTCTTCCAGACGACCTTTAAAATTATTATTGGTTTATTGAATAAACAAATCTATTGAAGCTGGACTCGCATATATCTATCTCTTACCAAAATAAATGAAGCTGGACTCGCATATATCTATCTCTTACCAAAATAAATGGTAATTCAAAAGTCTACATCGATTTAAAATTTAAAATTTGTTCTCTTACAATAGGTGGCAGCACCCACGAGAGCGAGGGCCAACACGGCGGCGGCGGCTGGTCCCATGTGGATGGGACTCGCGCGATCAGAGAGTTCAGTGAAGTGATCGTTGCCCCGCGGACTGGTCCGGGGGAAGTGTTAATTATTCCCGCTATACATGTAAGTTGATACTATAAACCTATGTTAGCTATTATTATGTTTTGCCATTTTCTTTCAAATTGAAATTTTAGCGCAATGGAAAGAGACAGAACACTTCCATAGTTAAAATAGGTTTGATGATGAAATGCTGATGATGAAATCAACGCTTACGAAGTAACGGGCAAAGAGCTAATAATAATATCAATGACTGATCTTAAAAAATATAACGTCTTTATTGAATAATAAATTACATACATTTAGTTAGCTCTACCAACCACTGTACTGTACTGTACTGTTAAGCTTGTATCTTAGTGGGCAATTCTGTGTCTTATATAAATATATATAACATCTTATACATATACTTATACATCTTATACATTATCTTATATCTTATACATCTTATATTTATTATCTTATGTTTATATACATATATAATTAACTCAGCATTTTAAAAAATCGATGAAAAACTTGAACAATATGTCAACAAAGTAGTAAATGCGTAAATTATAATAAATATAATAACTGTCTTTATTGAATAATAAAATATATTTAGTTAGATCTACTAGCCATCGTACTAGGTCGAGCCTGTATCTCAGTGGACAATTCAGTGTCTTATATAAACATATATAACATCTTATACATATACTAATACATCTTATATATTATCTTATATATCTTATACTCAGTATCTTGAAAGATCGCTCGATCTTAAACAATATGTCAACAAAGTAACAAATGCGCAGGAGTGTGGATGCGACTACCGCTGCGTGGCGACCAACGAGTACCGCAGCGCCGTCCGCTGCTACTGCCCGGCCGCCTGGAGCACCGACGCGCACGACCGCACCAAGTGCATATGTACGTACAGACAGACACACGCACGCACACACACACGTACACATGCAACATACTGAACATTCAAAAACAAACTGTAACATCATATTATCTATGTTTCTGGCAAATAAATTTTAAAATTACTTATTGTTTTAATCCTCAATTCAACATTTTTATTTTTTAGATATTTAAGTTTTGCGTACCTAATTAAAGCGAAATGTGTAGACTTTTTTATTATTGTTAACATCTGTATACTTACCATGTTTCTTGTTATAAATATTCATTAATTTATTAAATACACCGTGTGGGTGTATACACACAATCACAGAAAAGGCAGATACAAGCAATCAAGATAATTCATATACTCGCACATATATAAAAAGACAGATACAACAAACCAAAATGCAACAAACAGAGATAATGAATACACTTGCATACACATAAAAAGACAGATACAACAAACCAAAATGCAACAAACAGAGATAATGAATACACTTGCATACACATAAAAAGACAGATACAACAAACCAAGATGCAACAAACAGAGATAATTAATATACTCGCATACACATAAAAAGACAGATACAACAAACCCAGATACAACAAACAGAGATAATTAATACACTCGCACACACATAAAAATACAGATACAATACATCAAGATAACAATTTAAATTTTTGCAAACTTATTTTATTCGTCTTAAAAATAGAACAAGGTTTGATTATAATTTTTTTTTACAGTGGAAGACTCGTGGCCCCGTATATCCTGGGTACTCATCATAGTGCTGTCCGTCGCTGTGTTTGTCTGTGCTCTTGCTGTCCTCTGTGTATGCCTTTATCTGTGTAAGTATTAATGTTTTAATTCATTTAAAAAAACCAGTAATTTTGTTTTAAAAATTAAACTACTAATTTAGCTTTGATAAAATTTCTGTATTTCTGGCTGTAAGTACATCCTTTGAGATAATAAAAGAATTTTCCAAATTGGTTTTTAACTGACGGAGTTATGAGGTGACAAACATAAAAATAAATACAACTGAATCGAGAATCTTCTTTTTAAAGTCGATTGGAAAGAAAAATTACTCTTATTTTTTATTCTAAAGATAAAGTATGAAGTAAAGTGAATCTCTAAGGCTCTAAGTAAAAACAGACAAATTAAATTCGAAAAATAGACAATAACAATTTTCTATTTCCTGAAAATAGACAAAAAATAATATTTTTTTTTTGTTGTTTCTAATAGATATTAATAATATTGTCAAATTATCGGTACTTAGGTAAAAATAGCATTTTTATTCCATTTATTCCACTGGTAATTCAATGGTAGAGATAGGTGGGGTAATCACACTTTTCTCCTACGGGGGAATCTTTATTTTTTTAATTGCTTTTTTTTTCTGGAGGAAAATCTTAAACTCATAAGATTAATATATTCACGACAAATACCTTACTGGGGTAGACAAAGTGTAAAGGGCTTGTTTATGCACATAAACAATTTCTCTATCCAGACAACTCGTATCAACGGAAGAAAGAAGCTGAGCTTCGTCAGAAACGTCTTCTAGAGCAAGAGGTCCAATTGCACCGGCTCCGTAATGCGCCTGGGGGTAACGAAAACCCTCTGAGTATGGCGTTCAACCCCCACTACGGCAGTGAGAGTTTTCTACCCCAAGGCATCGACGTGAGAGGGCTGCCTCAAGTCTCCCGTGAGAGTCTCAAGCTTGTCAAGTGAGTGTATCTTAAACTTTTATATTTTTACGTTTTTATTTTTATGTTAAAAAGGGGCATTTTAGTAAGTGAATTTAATGAAGTGACGATTTAACATACTGCTGTTTCATTGAACGGTCGCTGGTTCGATTCCCGTAAATATTTGTATTCATAAGTGTTTCGTTCCGTCAGTACACGCAAGTCAATGTCTGGGTGTTTCTATGTATAAGTATTATATGTATGTATTTATAAAAAAAAGTATTTAAGTTAGTATATCAGTTATTTAGTATACCAGTTTCAGATGAGAATGGAATGGTAACCCCATCTGCGCTATCGGTATACACTGGCGGGGTACCAGTGAGAAATGATAGGTGAGAATAAAAAGACAGGATAGATAGCCCATCGTGATGAATTCATTAAAAATTTATCACGATGGTTTCCAAGGAGAACAGTTTTTTTTAATGGATGATAATGAAATAGTAATTCCGCTTGCGCTAACGGTATACGTTGTCAAGGCACCAGTGAAGTATGATAGATGTGAATAAAATGGCAGGTCAGTTGGTCCATCGTGGTGAAAATACCTGGTCTCCAGGGGGGACCGTGTGGAGGTCGACATGACAGGGTATATTGCTAGCGATGGAACTTGTAGTCTGCATTACTTACAATCCCTTTCACCTCTATCCATGGGGTTGTTGATGTTGGCTATCAACTAGCCATGTTGCACAAAATAATTAAATAAAACAGCAATGCAATTTTTCCTGCAGAGCCCTCGGACAAGGTGCCTTTGGTGAGGTCTACCAGGGCCTCTACCGTCACCGGACAGGCGACACGGTCGAGATGCCGGTCGCGGTGAAGACCCTTCCAGAGCTGTCCACCGGGCAGGCGGAGTCCGACTTCCTGATGGAAGCGGCTATCATGGCCAAGTTCAACCATCCCAATATAGTGCACCTGATCGGAGTGTGCTTCGACAGGCATCCGAGGTAAGTTCAGATTTACTACTGTTGGTATGATGAGGAATGGAGGACCCATCATCCAGTTAGTGTGATTATGTAAAATATACAAATATACAAAATTTTATTTATTTTTATTTTATTTATTAGGCGCACATAACAGAAGTTTACAAATACGAACTTAAATTATAACATGCAAGTACATAATGTATTGGATCAGGTAAATTTGCCACAACATGTGCACACAGCATGATCCAACAATAAATGCGACTGCAACAAAGCTAAATATACCCTAAAGTTGACTGGAAAAGAAACCAATTCAGCATTGCCCCCCAAATTAAAATCTATTCTCCCAGATTATTACTTTATGACTATTTTTTTTATGCTATTTAGAATGGCATACGAGCTGACGGCCACCTGAGTGAAAGTGGTAACTGTCACCTATAGACATGAGCAGTACCATGGACATAACAGAGTATACTGTTTTGCCCATGTTACCCCTCATGCGTTATTATTCCTGAGGACTCAGGTGTTATTCCTCTGTACCTTGTAAATTCACTGCCATATCTCACCCTTCAAACCGAAACACAGCCATGCAAACACAATTGCTTCACGGTAGAAACACGAATGGGACAGAGGTGCCCATGCTAACGACTTTTGTACAAAGTCTCCATATCCAAGGTTATCCAAGGTTTTTTTTTTATTCAACTTGGAATGGCAAACAAGCTGACGGCCCACCTGATGGAAAGTGGTAACCGTCGTCTATAGACATGAGCAATACCATATATATAGGTATATCTTATGTTAAGCTTTTAATACCGTTACCAGGTTTCTGAAGTGAATAAATTGTTCGCCAGGTTCATAGTGCTGGAACTGTTGGCTGGTGGTGACCTCAAGAACTTCCTGAGAGAAAGCCGGCCGAAACCAGAGCGGGCCAGTGCCCTCACTATGAAGGACTTGCTGCTCTGCTCCTTGGATGTCTGTAAAGGGTGCAGATATTTGGAAGCCAAGAGATTTATACATAGGTACGTGTCTAATTTGTAGATTTTAGATAGTTGATGACTATTCCGATCATCAGATCTGGTAGTACCTATGTAGATATTGGTTTGTTGGTCCAGCTCACTTGCAGAGTGGGTTCTTCTTTTGAACTTTTTTTTAATGTGTGATAATAGAATGGTAACCCCGCCCGTGCTAACGGTATACACCGGCGGGGCACCAGTAAGTGATGATAGGTGAGGATCAGGAAAGCAGGTCAGATAGCCTATCGTGACGAATTCCACTAGTTTCCATGATACTTACTAGTACGATAATTACTTACTAATCGTAGTAGATACGACACTAGTAACCACGATAGTTTCCAGGGGGAACCGCGTGGAGGTCGACCTGACGCTGGTGGAACTACCAGTGAGAGATGATAAGTGAGAATGAAAAGACAAATCAGTTGGCCCATCGTGATGAATATATCTAGAATTCAGCACGATAGTTTCCAGGAGGGACCACGTGGAGATCGACCTGGTCGGGTATATTGCTAGCAAGCTGAGCCCTTAGTCTCCAGTAATAACAATCCCCCCCCCCCCGCGTGGATAAGACTATTGTATTCCCTTTATAAACCGTCTTTTTCCCTAACCACTATTGTTTTCATGGGGGCCGCATGGAGGTCAACCCGTAAGAGAATAGCTACTAAAACTTGATATCTGTTATACCAGGGACATAGCGGCGCGGAATTGCCTGCTCACCTCCCGCGGGCCGGGCCGTGTCGTGAAGATAGCTGACTTCGGTATGGCTCGGGACATATATCGGGCTGACTACTACAAGAAGGGGGGGAAGGCCATGCTTCCTATAAAGTGGATGCCACCGGAGGCATACATCGATGGCATATTTACCATCAAAACAGATGTGTGGTAAGTTTGAAGGGTTTTTTGAAGTTTTTTTCAACTTTAGCCAACAGCTCGCATTTGGAAAAACTAAATGTTTGGTAAGTCGTTAGTTTTTTTTTTCTAATCCAAAAATGTAACAATGGGTGTGGGAAGAAGGTAAGTAGATTTTTCATGTAACTTTGTACCATGGTACCTTTCACGCGAATAGCATCGCGTCATGGTACCTTTCACGCGATGCTATTCCCGAAGACTATGATGTCTGGCGTAAAAAGACAGCTTCGTTCTTACATAGAATACGCGGGAGTGGCAACAGTATCCTGAACATGTTTGTAAATAGATAGGCCTTTCGTGAGAATGCTCGTCGAGAGGACTAGATCTTTATTAGTGATTAAGTATTAACATAGTTTATAAGTACACTTACTAACAAAAATGGACCCAAGTTGTCTGAAATAAATAAATAAAATTAAATTACATTTACTAACAAAAATTGACCTAAGTTGTATGAAATAAATAAATTAAATTACATATACTAACAAAAATGGACCCAAATTGTCTGATATAAATAAATTAAATTAAATTACATTTACTAACAAAAATGGACCCAAGTTGTCTGATATAAATAAATTAAATTACATTTACTAACAAAAATGGACCCAAGTTGTCTGATATAAATAAATTAAATTACATTTACTAACAAAAATGGACCCAAGTTGTCTCAAATAAATAAATTAAATTACATTTACTAACAAAAATGGATCCAAGTTGTTTTGAAATTAATAAATTAAATTATTCCGCATCCTGTAAATTTGGCTATTAACTGAAAAAAAAACTTAACCAATTTAAAAAAAAAACTTTTCTATATAGAAAGCTACACTATCAGAAAGTAATATGAGTTTTGTTTTAAAAAAAATCAAGAAATCCCCCTTAGCCTGCTAATTATTTTTTAATTTATTTTATAAGCTTTCAATGGCTGAGTAATCTCTCTAAACATTAGCACAAGTGCAGTACGAGTACTTGCATGTTTTTATCTCCTTCTAAATATGTACTTTTTTTTTAATGGATGATAATGGAATGGTAAACCCGCTTGTGCTAACGGTATACGTTGGCGCAGCACCAGTAAGGGATGATAAGCGTGAATGAAAAGGCTGACTTGCCTTAGCCTATCGTGATGAATAAATACACTTGGAATCCAACACGCTGGTTTCCTGATGGGGACCACGTGGAAGTCGACCTGACAGGGCATATTGCTAGCAATGGTAGTCCGCATTACTAACAATCCCTTCCGCCCCACTAAATGTGTACCTTTTTTTTAATAGTAGATAATGTAATGGTAACCCCGCCTGCGCTAACGGTATACGCTGGCAGGGCACCAGTGAGAGGTTATAGGTGAGGATGAAAAGACAGGTTACTTAGCCCATCGTGAAACGTAAACGATAAATTAGTCACGATAGTTTCCAGGGGTAACCGCGTGGAAGTCGACTTGATAGGATATATTGATAACTAAGTAACCTCCCAATTACTAACAATCCCTTCCCTCTCCCCTTCTAAATGTGTACCATTTGTTGGTAGGTCGTTCGGCGTGCTGCTGTGGGAGGTGTTCTCGCTGGGCGTGATGCCGTACACGGGCTGCGCCAACAGGGAGGTCATGGAGATGGTCTCCGGCGGCGGCAGACTCGAGAAACCATACGGTAATACTTCGTTCTGATACTCAAAATAGCAATGTACGGGCTCCTACGGAAGACCAGCGTCGGTGAGCCGCAAGGACTCCCGACACATGCTGAGTGAGAGCCTTTTTTAGTTACTAGAATTTGTTTCTACTGTCAATCGCTATAATGTCTATCATCGTCATCATCATCTCAGTCATTATCCGTCCACTGTTGGACATAGGCCTCCCCATCCTCCATTCACACAGTGGATAAAGTCTGTCACTGAATTTTTCGTTCTTTCCTTCAATCGAGTTGATCAACCCGGGAGTTGTGAAGACTCGGGTTTTTAAGTTTATATAAACCCCCGGGTTTTGAAATCTTGATAGATTTATGTCTACGCTTCAAGTACAAATTAGCTTTTTACCCGCTATTTATTTATACTTTTGCACACATTGAAAAATGTGTACGGGGCGGACTTAATGCCTGATGGCATTCTCTACCAGTCAACCGCCACACCAGACAGAGAGAGCAGACAGAAATAGCGGTGCACAGATTTAAAAAAATTGCAAATTTAATAAATATTTTAAGAGATAACAATTTATGATAAATAAACATACAAACATATAGAAACATACAAACATATAGAAACATACTTACCAAAAATACACTTAGTAAGCGTGAATTTCAGAAGTAGAATAACCAATCCACTTTTAGACGACGCATCAGGATAAAACATACACCTTTACTTTAATAATAATAATAATAATAATTTATTTATTTGCTAGAAATGTGGTTATAATAATGGTCTTAAATATAATAGATCTACACATTTCGCCTTATCTAAAAGCATGCAAATTTATTATTATAATTTAGTGGCTTACGTATATTAATAGCCTACAAGGATCAATCCATAAATATTGGCAGCCGCACACATACTAATGGTAGCCGACTAAATAAATACAAATACAAACTAAACAAAAACAAATACATAACAAGTACAATAATATAACAAATGTCACACAATACAAATGAATTACACATTTACATACATTCATTCTTGTCCGGAGTTAATGACTCTGAAAGAAGCAGCCAAGGAGTGGGAGTTATTTTGTCAGAGAGAATGAATGCATCTGTTAAAGAATTTGAATTTGTAAGTCCTAGACTCCTCTGGATACGACTGAAAGTTGGTTTGACCCGTATTTTTCTCCTTTGCGCTTATGCCCCGGATATGTCCAAGCCACCAAAGGTCAGAGAGGATTTCTGGGATAGTGTAAGGGAGATTATGACTAAATGTAAGGAGAATGAAAGAATTATTTTGATAGGTGATTTTAATGGCTGGGTGGGAATCCGTCGCGATGGATATGAAAGGAATTTAGGAATGTTTGGAGATAAAAGAGTGAATGAAAATGGTGAAAGTTTATTAGAAGTATGCCTGGAGAGAAATCTGGTGGTGACTAATACTTTGTTTAGTCACAAACTGATTCATATGTATACATGGCAAAGGCAAACTGAGAGAAGTATGATTGATTTTGTAATTGTGGATGAACGATTGAGAGCGAAAGTGAAGGATACAAGAGTCTATCGTGGTACGAATGTCGGAACTGATCACTTTTTGGTGATATCGAGAATAGGTGGCTTATTCAATAAATGGCGACATCGTCCACGTGTTCGTATGTCAGAAATAGAAAGAGTAAGAGTAGAGAGACTGACAGAAGAACAGGTTCGAAATCAGTATCAAGAAAGATTGAATGAAAGATTTAGAGAGCTACTGAAGAAAGATAACTATGAGATAGAAGAATTTTGGAAGGAATTTAAATGCGGAATCTTTGATATAGCTACTCAAGTTTGTGGTGTAAGTAAGAGGAAGGATGTTAAGATGAGAATGAATGTATGGTGGGATAGCGAAGTGAAAGAAATGGTGGCTCTAAAGAAAAAGGCATGGATGGATTTGTTAGCTACCAGAGCTAATAAGAGAATGCAAGGTAATGTAAGTGACATTGAAAAAATTGCAAAAGAAAAATATGATGTAATGAAAAAGAAAGTTAAAGAATTAGTAAGCAAAAAGAAAGAGGAATGTAAGGATGAGTATGAAAGGAAATTCTCTAGAAATTTTCGAGCTAATCAAAAGCTTTTCTGGCATTTAGTTCGAACAGCTAGAGGTAAAAAGAGAGATCCGAAAATGGGCGTGATAAGGGATATGGATGGTAATGTTATCACCGAACAAAAGGAAGTCTTAGATCATTGGAAGAGATATTTTGAAAGTTTATTTGAACGTGGAAGTGAAAGAAAGAATGTTGAAAATGAAATAATGGACGAAGAAGTTGACAGTGAAAGTGATATAAGTATGGATGAAGTAATGAATGCAATGAAGATTATGAAATTTGGTAAAGCAGCGGGATTCGATAGAATATCTGCCGAAATGCTTAAAGAAGGTGGAGAAATCATTGTAAACCTGCTGTGTCTGCTGTTCAATAAATGTTGGCGGTCCGGTTGTGTTCCAGGTGACTGGAGCAAAGCTGTTATTGTGCCACTATATAAAGGCAGCGGGTCACAGCAGGAGTGCAAAAATTTCCGCGGAATAAGCCTTCTTAGTGTTGTAGGCAAATTGTATGCTAGGATTTTGATTAAAAGAGTGATGAATGAGACGGAAAGTAAAATTTGGGATGTGCAAGCAGGGTTTCGAAAGGGTATGGGATGTACGGATCAAGTCTTTTCCTTAAGGTGCATAACAGAGAAAACCTTAGCTCAACATCAGAAGGTTTTCTGCGCCTTCATTGACCTTGAAAAGGCTTATGATAGAGTGGAGAGGAATGAACTGTGGTCAACACTGGCAATGTATGGGGTGAGCAGCCATTTGATACGGGCATTCAAATCTTTATATAAGGATTCAAATGCCTGTGTCAGAATAAATGGAGTCTATACAGACTGGTTTGGCATTGAACGCGGTGTTAGACAGGGCTGTGTAGCGTCTCCTTGGCTGTTCAACCTATTTATGGACAGTTGCTTGACCGATTTGAAAGGATCTAATTGTGGATTCAGGATGAATGAGTCTCTGTTTAAGACTCTTTTATACGCCGACGACCAAGTACTTTTTGCATCGTCGGAGTATGAATTACAACAAATGGTGACTATAATGAATGAAGCGTATGCAAGAAAAGGTATGAAAATAAATGCGAAGAAGACGAAGGTAATGGTTTTTGGGAGGAATGAAAGTTTAACGGCATGCCAGATTATGATAGGAGATGAAAAAGTGGAGCAAGTGAGTGAGTTTCTATATTTAGGTTCTTTGTTTACGAGGGATGGGAAGTGTGAAAGAGATATTGAGAGGAGAGTAAAAGCGGGAAACAGTGTTAACGGTGCACTGCTCTCGATTATGTCAAGTAAAAATGTATCGAGCAAAGCTCGCCTTGCTATAATTCAAGGAGTACTGACACCAACACTCATGTATGGAAGCGAATCGTGGGTATGGCAGAAGAAGCATGAAAGTAAGATAAATGCTGTACAGATGAGAGCTTTGAGAAGTATGTGTGGTATTACTTTAAAAGATAGAGTAAGAAACAGTGTGATTAGAGAGAAGTGTGGACTGAAAGTCGATGTAGTGACCAAAATCGAAAAAGGAATGTTGCGTTGGTTTGGTCATTTGGAGAGGATGGATGAAAGGAGAATTACGAAAGAGATTTATCGAGCAAGAATGAATGGAGATGTCGGTAGGGGCCGCCCTAGACGGACGTATGTTGACCAAGTAGGCGACGTGCTGAAGAAGGGCCAAATTAAAAGTACCCGTAACCGACGAGCGTGTATGACAAGATTGATGAATGTGGAAGAAGCGAAAGAGGTTTGTTTGAATCGAAGCATTTGGCGTTCCATTGTTTCTGCCTACCCTAATGGGAGACAGGCGTGCCAGATATGTATGTATGTATGTCATTCTTGTCTATGATATTATGAAATAACAAATTTTAAAATTAGAACTATCGATTTTTTTCATCTCCACATATGTATCGTAGATTTTTTTTTTATTGTTATGTAGTCTTTTACAACGTTTCTCACATTTATTTTGTTTCGTCAGCTTTTTACCTAGCAAGACTCAATAATCAATAATCAATAAATTCTCTTACCGTGTAGAAACACTTTTGTAAAAGCCACTTCGACAAGGTTTGTTTAAATTGTTTAAGACCTAATTCTTTAAACTCTTTAGGGATTGCATTATATAGTTTCGTACACATATAATAACAATTTTTTTGATAGACTGCTGTTGGAATACAATTTAAAACTAATCTATTTGGCTGTCTCGTATTTTTTGGGTATTGTTGTACAGCAGTAGTAAATTTGCTAAAATATTTTTTAACAAATACTGCTATTTCATATATGTACATACATGGTAAGGGAAGAAGGCGAAGTTTTTTGAAAAAAGGCCGACATGATTTCCAAGGTGGGATACCACAGATGGCACGAACACATTTTTTTTGAACAAGAAAAGCTTGAAGTGCATCTGTTGAGTTTCCCCAGAATATTAGCCCATAACGTAATTGAGAGGCCACATAACCATGATACGCCATTAGGGCAGATTTTTGATCTGAGGTTCTACCAAGTCGCCTAAGGACAAATACGAATTTGTTTAGTTTATTGCAGACCTTAAAAACATGAGCCTTCCAATTACAGAAGCGATCCACTGTTATACCCAGAAATGACACATCATGTACTTCTTTAACTTTTTCACCTTTATATTTAATGCTGAGATTTAACTCTTTTGCTCCTTTATTCAAAAATTGAATATAGTGAGTCTTATTTATGTTTGCGGTTAGATTGTGACTTTCCATCCATGCTATTATAGATGTAACAGTAGAATTTATGTCGTTTTCAAAAGTTTGTGCATCATTTTTATTCCTGGCTACGATAACAGAAACATCATCTGCAAACAAGACACACCTATTCTCAGTGACTTTAGGTAAATCATTTATATAGATTAGAAATAGTAGTGGGCCCAAAATACTTCCCTGAGGTACACCGCGTCTGTTATGTTTTCTATTCGATTTATATGATGTCAGTATTGACTCATGATTGAGTTTAGTCACTTCAACAGATTGAGATCTGTTCGAAAGGTAGCTTTTTAACCATTTCTGTGCTGGACCTCGTATTCCATTATTATCAAGTTTTGTTAAAAGTATCTCATGTGATACATAATCGAATGCCTTTTTCATATCAAAAAAGAGAGCTACGTTGTCCTTTTTATTATCCATATTATTAATTATACTATTTACTAGTTCGAAAATGGCTGAGTCAGTCGATTTATTTTTTTGAAATCCATGTTGTTCATTTGTAAAAATATTATATTTTGTTAAAAATTCTGATAGTCTATTATGCATAGCTTTCTCAAAGACTTTAGAAAAAATTGAAAGTAATGCAATTGACCTATATTTGTCCATGTCACATGGATTATCTTTTTTGAATATAGGTTTAATAATTGTATATTTTAAACGAGTTGGAAATGATCCTTTTTCAAATGAGAGATTTATTATATACGCTAACACAGACGATATTTCATCAGTACAAGATTTTATAACTTTTGTACATATGCCATCAAAGCCTTCTGAGTAAGTATTATTCAGACTTCTAATAATCTTGGCAATTTCGTATTTAGTATACGGGCTTAAGAATATACTGTTACTCTGAGTTGCATATGTCGTTTTTATTTGAGATTTGTCAATATTATTCCTATTATTAATTAAAGTTGCAGTGTTCGTATAATAATTATTAAATTCATCAGCAATTTTTTTAGGGTCAGTTATAATTTTATTGTCAATATTTATTTCATTTATATAGTCATATTTACGTAAAGAGTCAGATTTATTTCGAATTATGTCTCAAGCAGCTTTACACTTATTTTTAGATCTTTTAATATAATTATTATTTGTGATTTTTTTGATCTAAATATACATTTTTTAAATACTTTTACATAAGTTGAGTATTTTTCCATATTTTTAGTTGAATTATTTTTGTAATAAGCGTAACGTAATATTCTCTTCGTTTTACAACTCTGTCGTAAACCTTTTGTTATCCAACGAGGGTTATGATTCTTATTACTTATCTTTACCAATATTTTTGGGAAACATAAATTATACAACAATGAAAAAATGTCATGAAAAGCATTAAAAGCAACATTAACATCTGTTTCTTGAAATACATCTGAAAATAATAAACAACTAAGATGTTTACGAAATTTACTGATATTGTCTTCACTGTAATCTCGACAATACTTATACCAGACTTTAGGAGTTTCATTCTTATTGTCGACTGTAAATGTAATCATTTGTGCAGTATCATGATCTGAAACACCAAGATGTAAAAGTTCACTAGTACTATTATGAATGTTGCTAATTATATGGTCAATACATGCTTTCTTCCGGGTTGGGCTGTTGATGTGAATTTTCAAATTATAATTACTTGCTAAATTTTCTAATAGTTGCGATGCTTTGGTCTTTATTAAAGTATTTATGTTTATATCACCAAGCAATATAATCTTTTTTATGGTCGATTTGTTAGTTATATTATGTAGAATATTATCTAAGTTATTTAACAAAATATCCACATCAGAATTAGGCGTTCTGTATAAACAAATTATTAAAAGATTTTGATCAGGAATCTCTATACCACAACACTCACAATCCTTTTCCTTTTGAAATTTGTCCAAGAGTTTAATCGGCTTTGTCCTAATACCGTATCTGCCTAATATACATACACCGCCTCTTTTCTGTGTAGCTCTAGAAAAATGTGAGAGCAATTTGTAATTGCAAAGTTGAATATTCGACTCCTGGCCCCGTTTTATGAAAGTTTCTGATAGGCATATAAAGTCGATATTAATATTTATAGACTGTAGTTCGGAAAGAAGTATTTCTAGTGTATCTAGTTTGTTCAATAATCCAGCTATATTTTGGTGCATTACTTTAAGTTTTGGTGCTAGATCGAAAAAACATTTTTTGTGAAGAGCTCACCTTTTTTGTTACAGTTCGGAAGTAAAAAGGTATTGTACCTCGTTTTGGAGCCTCTTTATCATTTGCTACAGTAGATACATGTTTGGGTTTTATTACAGAAAAGTAGTTAAGAATTGTATTACGTGTAGGAACAGGCTTAAAATTTCGAGACGACAAGCAATTATTCTTATAATTCTTTAAAGATAAATATGTGTCTTCATAGTCATCAACATCTATAGAAAAATTTATTTTATGACATAAATTATTAAAAAATGAGATACTATTATTTGAGTATGATACATTAATGAATCTGGTGTTAACAAAATTCTGGCATACATATCTTAAAGTGCAATTCAAGTTATTTACATTTAAATGTCTATTTTCAATTATACCCAGTATATAAATTTTACACTTATACAACTGAATCCTTTTTAATATATCATTCAATGCTATCGTTACCCTAAATGGATTGCTATCATGTTGTCCCACAGATATTATGACCTTATCGTGTTGATTAAAATTATATAACTCACAAGTTCGCGATATTTCTTCAGACGAAGCATTGGACTTAATGAATCCTGTGATTTTATATTTATTGTAATTAGTGTTTTCTCTACTTATTTTTAATTTTTCTGCTAAGCCTGTACATTGTTTTCCACCAAATATATAAATATTTTTAAGTTGGTTATTATTTTGTTTGTTGATATCTGTTTTTCTAGTATTTGATTTGGAGTTGCATATATCAGTAATAATAGGCTTTTCGTAATTATTTTTTAGTTGCTTATTTACAATTGTAGGTGATTCAATGTCGTCTAAACTTTTCTTCTTGATACATGTTTGTAGAAGTGAATCAATATTTTTTGGAACAGTCTGTGTTTTGTTATGTGAAGTTTGTTTCCGTGGTGTCGGTGTGGTATTTTCTTGTACAAATTGTTTAAGAACACTATTCTTCAGCCGGTGCTCTTGGATAATTTTTTTAAGATTTGCATTTTCCAAGTTCAAATTTTCTATTTCTAGGTGGGCACTCTCGAGTTGTGTAGTTAAAGTTTTTATCTCTTCCTTTAAACTTAAAATATCTGCATTTTCTGAGAAAGTCGGTAGACTATTAAAGCTATCGTCATGTACCGGAAATGCAGAACTTTCATCGTAGAGACTTAGTGAGATATTTTCAGTGGACACGCTGTGACTCCTGCGCCTTTTTGGTTGACGAAGTGTAATGTTATCAAAAAGTAGTGTCTCATTGTTCATCTCAGCAGTCAAAGCACATTTAATTTGATTATTTTCAGGTTGAAAGTTACTCTTTCTTTGTGCAAAAATTGAAGTGGTATACTTATGTTTAATTTTTAAACATTGATCACATTTCCAAGTATTTTTGTTTGTTTCATTCATAAGTAGAAAACGCTTCATTGATACATTCGTACACTGCACGTCGAATGTCAATGTACAAGCACAGCATCGGAGAAATTCTTTGCTTTTTATTACTGACGCACATTTTGAACATATTATCCCTTTTAAAGATGACATTCTGATCCTTACCCTCAATGTGGAGGGATATGTTTACGTATACAATTATATTATATAGGCACTGTTCTCTGATAGTGGTGCTCTATCTTAACGTTGTTGTAAATAAATGTGATGCACAAGAAAAAAAAATTAAAATTTAATACCAATATGTACAAAAAGTGAACCCGCGTTGTAGACTCGAAGGCTGAACCATTAACAGTAAAGCAGAACTCAGTTACCTCCGAACCAATGGATGATTACTTATAAGATTCGAATTTAGCATACACATTTGTTTCAGTTGACCAAAAGTTCGTTAGCTTGACTAATTATTTTGAAATGTATTGGCACAGAGTTCACAATATACCGCACATTTATTTGTGTAAAGTACTCACATTTCAAAACGGTTTCTTGATAACATCAATAACATATTCATACCAACAACATATCCACATCCAAGCAATGACCACAATATTTGCTTAGATATTTTGCCTTTAATTGCACATAACACTGTTTTTGCTTTTTTTTTCTCTCTTCTTCAGCACAAAACCTCTGGAGTTTAATTTTACACCATAAGTTTATTTTTAGTAAATATAGTGTTTATTTGTAACATCTGTTTAAAATAACACTCGTGCATATAATTTTGATACTAACGAACTATACTATCACTTCTTGAGATATATTACTTTAGTTTTTATAAGTGACTTTAAGTGAGACCTTCAAGAATACAACTGTGAAAATCGCATCTAATTTGGTGCAGTCATTTTTGCGTGATGCCGGAACAAACTTCGTTTACTTACAGCTTTATTATACAATATTTTTAAGATGTTCATCATCATATCAGACTTTAATTGTTCAATGCTGAACATAGGCCTCCCTCTATAGGGGAGTTTTGCCAATAGTCTTGGCAGGCAGGCTGGCAACCGCAGTTAAGTTAGGATTTTCTAAAGAGGACGCTGCTGCCCATCCTCCGACCACTAAGTTCTCTTAGTCGCCTCTTACGACACCCACGGGAAAGGAAAGGGTGGCCCATTCTATGCGGGGACCGCACTGCTGTCTCATATATCCAATGGTATTTATATTTTTTGTATATTGCAGGGTGTCCACAAGATATCTACCGGCTGATGTGCGAGTGCTGGAACCCCACGCCCACGGAGCGGCCTTCATTCGCCCACATGTTTGACAGACTACAGCGGTTCCTTCAGGTACGGCCTATTTATAGTATAAATACGAAATTTTGTAATGATTGATGAATGTTTGTTACTCTTTCGCGCAATAACTACTGAATCGATTTGAATGAAATTTCGTACACGGGTAGGTTATACCCTAACTGAGCAGATAGATTACTTTATATAATATTGACGCGCGCAAAGCCGCGAAATACATTTAGTAACTTAAGTCTTTGTTCTACAAACATACATAACTTTAGTCATCGTAAAACCAGTTATTTGGATTAAAAAAATAAACTTACTTTTTTTTTATACAACTTAGAATGGCAAACAAGCTGACGGCCCACCTGATGGAAAGTAGTAACCGTCGCCTATAGACATGAGCAGTACCATGGACATAACAGAGTATACTGTTTCGCCCATGCGTTGCCATTCCTGAGGACTCAGGTGTTATTCCTCTGTACCCAGTAAATTCACGTTTTTTTTTTTTGATAATATTTCTATGGTATCTATCGGAAAGTATATTACTTCAGATCAAAAAAAAAATTTCCACAAACACCCTTCAGGCAAGCATAAGGTTTTAACTCATCATCATGTCCACTGCTTAACGTGCGCCTCCTCCATAGTCAGTTTTCCATTGAGGGGATTTTGCCAGTAGTTGCCACGCTTGGCAGGCGGATTGGCAACCGCAGTTAGGCCGGTAATATTAAAAGAGGGACGCTGCTGCCTACTCCTCAACCTTAAGGTTCCTTAGTCGCCTCTTAAGACACTCACGGGAAAGGAAATGGTGGTCCATTCTATGCCAGGACCACATTGCATATATATACATATAAAGTTTTAATTTATTTATTTATTTATTAGATACAAAAAAAAAATTACAACAGCGAGTACATTGGACCCCGCACTAGGAGAACCTGTATCGCGGGAGTCCATATGAGATTACCAAGACACGGTGGTTTACAAATATAAATTAAATTAAAATACTAAGCCAGTTTTACGAAAGCAACAAATTAAAATGAAGTGCTTCGTGAAGACATGCGCATAAAACAGAAAATTATGTAAATACTCTAATATTACATAAATAAATACATACAATTAAATATACTAAAGACATACACTACTATATACGAATATCAATAAATGGTATATAACATTAATTCTGTGGATCGTAATCAAGATTTTGTAAATATCCTTGTATCCTATGTTTAGCTTCCGCATTGTTAAGACCATCCAGTTTGCAGAGATTATTAAGTTTTTTATATATAAATGGGCACGAATAATAACTAAAGCGCTTTGCAAATGCAGTATTAATCCGAGGGATGATTATTTTGCGCCTTCTCTGGTCCGAAGGTTTTTGCGGGAGGAGAGGAGATTTGTGGTGCATCATTACTACTTTAAGTATATAAAGTTGACGCACTGTCAGAACAGCAGCCTCCTGATACAAAAGATAGGTGGGAAAACGAATTAGTTTCCTAAACATTACTTTTAAGACAGATCTTTGTGCCCTTTCAAGTGCAATCATATATGATTTTGATGCACCGCCCCACACTGTGATGCAGTACATCAACAGTGATTGAGCTATGCTTTTGTATACAAGTAATAAAACATTCTTGCTCGCGCCGTTACGCAAAAGCTTCATAACATGTATAAGTTTTCGTATACGTTTAGAAAGCACTTGTATATGAGAAGCAAAAGTCAACTTTTGATCCATGATTAATCCCAAATATTTCACTGCATGAACCCTATCAAGGAAATCATAACTGCAGATTTTGTTATTATCACATGAATATCTATGGATAATCAAGGATAATGACGTTGGGGGACTAGAAGCTTTGGTGTTGTGAAAACAAACATACTCGTATTTAGATTTTGCAGTGTTTAAAGTAAGTAGGTTTGCTCCCAACCAATTTGATACAATCTTCATGGCCGAGTTAGCTGCAGAAAAAACAGAAAACCAATTTTCTTGTGTGCAAATTATTGCAGCGTCATCAGCATAACAGATTACTTGGACGTTGTTGTCATCATCAAATAGATGGCAGAGGTCATTCATGTAAATAGAAAACAGTGTAGGCCCGAGGATACTTCCTTGTGGAATTCCAAAAGAAATATATGATGTATAATTATATATATATTTTTAATATAATTGTCTCCCATCTCCCACAGGACCCTGAGATAGTGAGCGCACCGCTTCCCGTGGTGCGGTCGCTGCTGCCGCCAGCCGACAGTCATCTCACCAACGGCCCGCAGGTACCACCACCCCTCCTCCCCACCGTCAATGACGGCGGTCATCACACGGCACCACTCGCGTGGTACAGTCACGTGCATATATAAACAATGCAAAACAATGCAGGAAATATTGATTACTAGCGACGCGATGCGGCTTCGCACGGTTCCTTTTTAAATAAAGTACAGTCTATGTTACTCGTACTCAGTGATAATGTAGCTTACTATAGGTGAAAGAATTTTTATAATTAATCAAGTATTTTTGAGCTTATCCGTTACAAACAACAAAATAATCTTTATAATATTTGTTTAATTTTAGCAAAGTCCCATTGTGACCCCTGAGGTCTTAAAACCTAATAGTTTTTAACGGATCTACTCTGTAGATTGGTACCAGCAGCATATACGGCATAGACCAATTTATAGTGACGTGGCCTAAACCTGTCAAGTCTTTAAAAGTATTATAATTATTAATTACCTAGGCACAGGTAACCATAATTTGCAGGCACAGATTACCCTAATTTGCAGACTCAGGTTACCCTAATTTGTAGGCACAGGTTACCCTAATTTATAGACACAGATTTTGCTAATATGTAGGCACAAGTTACCCTAATTTGCAGGCACAGATTACATTAATTGTAGGCACAGGTTACCCTAATTTGCAGGCACAGGTTTCACTAATTTGTAAGCATAGGTTACCCTAATTTGCAGGCACAGGTTTCACTAATTTGTAGGCACAGGTTACACTAATATGTAGGCACAAGATACACTAATATGTAGGCACAAGTTACCCTAATTTACAGGCACAGGTTACCCTAATTTATAGACACAGGTTCCACTAATTTGTAAGCCAGGGCAAAATATACGTAACAGTGCAACTCTGTAACAGTGTTAATTGGAAATTTACCTGTATATCGTATATATTTATGTTGCCATAGATACCGTAGATATTTATGGCCGTGTGGTCTCTACATAGAATAAGCTACACCTTTCTTTTCCGTGGGTGTCGTAAGACAAAGGGAGAGCGAGAGATGGGTAGCAGCGTGTTTCTTAAAACATTTCTAAACCTGACTGTGGTTGCCAATTCGCCTGTCAAGCGTGACACCTACTGGCAAATTCCCATGAGGGGGGGGGGCTTATAATCAACAGTGGACTGTTTGTATATTTAGCAATTCCCACTTCCATATGGGGTTTAATTTGTGACGACATAGAAATAGTAAACATACCTGCGCTATCGGGTATCGCTGGCGATGAATAATAGGTGACAATGAAAACAGGTCAGTTAGCAACTCGTGATAAATTACACATAGAGTAAAAATACCAAATTTATCGAGAATAAACCACGATGGCTTTCAAGGTAGACCACGTGGAAGTCAACTTAATAGGGTATATTACTAGCAACGGGGTCGCTGTACCCAAAAGCCACTGCTACGTGATATTAGGTGGAAAGTGAGTGTAAATTTATATAAATTAATATATTATGTTTATATTCACTACTGGCCGAGGTTGTATACATAACCTATAGTAAAATATATAATCTGTAACATTAGAGTTCGCTGTATACCCTATAAAATTTTAGAAAACATGATACAAAAGGTTAAAGTGTTTCTTGAAAGTAATATTTTAAAATATTTAATATTTTTAGCAACATACAATAAGACGTGTTCACATATTATTGCACGTGACTGTACCAATAGACATGATAGAGGCGTTATTCTGTTATCGACTGTACATTTAAATAACTAGATATTTCCCGCGTTCGTGTAATAATTTGTACGAAACTGCATATATTTTTTTAACCTGTCTGCGTATCTATAAGTGAAATATAAAATTGTGTTTTGTTTTTTAAATATTTGTGTATCAAGCCATTCCTTTAGCAAACTGCTGCAACGATAGGGCGAGTTTTATTTTATACATTTACATACATTATATTACTTTTAAATACATTTAATAGGTTTATGTTATTGTTGTTGTTTTACAATTTCAAAATGGATAGGCAAAGAGCATGGCTCATACAGCCTAGTCATAAGTTATTATCGGTTCTTCATGAACGGGAGATTAAAGTTTATTATATTTTCTAAACTTTTTTTTTTTAATAGTACTAATGGCGTTTTACTGAGATTATTTTTTAATTGAAATACAATATATTAATAAAAGATAGATATGAGATTTATGTTTACTTTATTACTACCGTGGACTATAATTATTGGATTATTAACTAATTAAATATTGTGATTTTTATTAAGATTTTTTTAAATAAAGAACAACGCCTCTATAAAACAACGCCGATACAAAATTATACCATAAACTACAATTGGTTGATGATATTAAAGTGACAATTGTTTCCCATGTTGTTTACAGTCGATCAATACCCTATCACAGAAAATAAACAAAATATATCTAAAAAAAAATACATAATACTAATTTGTAACTTTGTTTTTCTTTTTTTTTCCAAATGTTTTCGCTCTGGCTACTAGAAGCAAGTAATTGGATTTCTTTATTTATTTATATATTACTTACAGTTTTAAATTCAATTTCTTATTTTACTATCGGTGTTAGATATCCATGGTTTTACAGAGCTCCGTGCTTAAGAGTGGCGCATGACCATAACCTACCATTTGTTTTTTTTTTCTCTTGAAAAATTTGTTTTTCATTTTTTCTGACTCTTCCCCGTCCTGAATGAGAGCCGCATAGTTACATAGAGTACCCCTGTAGTTAGAGAGAGATTCATTGGAATGTTGGAATAAATCATTAGACATACTTCATTGACCCTGAACTGTTGTTAACTTCTTCTAAATACCAATTCATATCAGCCAGTGGTATCATCACCATCGCATGCGATGTATCATTAATATTACTGATAAATTAACAAGCCAAATGCAATTCGTTCCATCGTTTTGTTTTGTCATTTGCCGCGCTTTCATCCCTTTTGACATTTCAAAGAATCTCTTGCGTTTATCCGATATACTTCAAAGACTCAATGTTTACTTGCCTAGTAGCTATAGCGGGAATCTTTACCTACGTATCTATTCTTTTATTTTACCTTTGCCCCTTCGCATTGGGTTTTGTAAAAAAAAAAATTTAAAATATTATTGAGAAAAAAATACATTTTTTTTTTACAAAGCCCTGTGACCTATGCACGCGTAGAGTTAAAATGGTTCAGGCGCAGAGAGATTTTTATAAATATATTAAATGCTATTTTCGTGTCCACTGTCTTTTGAATGATAAATACTTAAATATTTAAACTTGTTCTTTTGCCTAATAAGGTATATACTAATAATTCAACACAGTTATCAGATTTTATTTTAAATAACGAAGATCGACTTATTTCACATTTATTACTGAAGAATTGGGAAATATAGAACATTTTTTACAAAATAATGTATAACAATATCTTTAAATTTAAATAGACCGTAAATCTTCTCTAATCACAGAAAAAAAAATACTAAAAACGGTCAACGACCTACCAGAAATAAGACCAAAGTGATTCCCGTTAAATTCTGTTTATGTAATAGGAAATAAGTTTTCGATACAAATTGTAAACAATCAAGTGTAGAGCAGTGGACAAAAGATTGTGGACCGTGTAACGTGTATGATGTGAGCGTGTGAGATCTCTCAGCGCGGGCGTGTGTACTGAGCGTGGCATGTTAACAGCGCGCGCCGGCGTGCGACTACCTCGTGCCGATGTCTCCGCAGGATCTCCCGCCGCCCGACGCTAGGTAACGCTACCCTGACAGGCTTGCACGCATATACACCACGGCCCTGATGATCCATTTTTGTACATGGCCTTAATTAACAATCTTGGCATATTTAAAAAAAAAATTGCTGGAATATAAAAGTTTTTGGTGTTAAATTTGTTGGCTGTCAAAATGTTTATGATCAATAGTGAAAAAAAATTACATATGCTAAAATTGTTAAGTAAATATGCCAAGTATAAAAACCGGATTATAGGCTAAATTTTATTTATATTATTTGTAGAAATGATAAAATTTTATACAATTGCAATTAATAGCATTATAATTCTTTAATGTCCCACTGCTGGACTATTTTCTTAAAAATAGAATATTAAATAAAAATAGAATAAGTTTTACTTCGAGTTTTCCATTCTTTCCTTTAATAATGTGTCCTAGAAAAATAAAGGAGAGAAATGATCCGATGATAGATGGGAGTAAGGACACTTTGTATTCTTACTCTGACTACTAAACCACCACAAGGATTTTATTGTCTAAACTAATTATGAATCAAGTCCATATATTTGGACTTTACTAGTTTTCTACTTGCGAAATTTCTAGAGTTACATTTTACGAAAGTTGTACGGCTTAGATTACAAAAATATTTTAAAAAAGACGGTGAAGAGTTTCATGAAGTGTATCATTAGTATCAGATCAGTATAACGTAGTAAGTACGTCACTACTTCTTCATTTTAATACTAAAATATGGAATTCGGAGTAACGTTAGACGTTTGAACGTGTAAAAACACAAATTTGTATGTTCGTCTAATGTATCAAAATTAAGGAACAAGAATCACGTACATTTGCAGAAAGAAACACTATCGTCAATATTTGTGTCGTCAAGAGAAATGATAAATATTTAGTAATTTAAATAATATTTTACATTTTATTAGCATTTATTGAAACTTTTAAATCCAAAATATATAACTATTTGTAACTATTTATAGATTTTCAATATTAACCTTAGTTAAATATAATATTTTTTTCTTAAATATAACTTGGTGGTAACCATGAAGAAGATCAAGGGTTTATATTCAAAGTATACCTGCAAGCCTCGTCGGTTAATATAATTTAATTCTATTAAAATCTAACTCTTAATATATGTGGCACTTCCTTTCAAATTTGATGTTGTTTAGTAACTGAATAAAATAACTGTCAAGTCTGAATTGGCTAATAATTCCCATTATACTGCTTCAATTTACTAAAAGCGATTTTCCAAAACTTATATTACAGAATTGTTTCAGGTTATGGGAATAATTAGTCAATAACCAATAACAAGATTTGAACCGCTCTTTAGACGGAGTGGTGACAGCATGCACTAGAGAAGCAGCTATATCTTTTAATCCCAATATACAGTTTTATTAAACGCAATTTGATAAATAAGAAACATTAAAACACAGCACAGTCCATACATACAATCCATCCAAATTAAAATCTCTCAAATTAAAACTTTTTATTTAATACAATAAATAATTTGGATTACATATTTCATCTGCGTCTTTGAATATCACCTGTGATTACTATATATTAATGCCAATGAATTTTAGCTCAACGGATCAGCTGGTTCTTCATAGCAAATCGCCAACGGCGGCACAGGACAAACAAGAAACGGAGGATTCACAATTTCAACCTCTTCTGAAAGGTCAGAGATTAAACTTTATCATATATGGTATAACCAAGTAATTTATGTTCTAAATAACTTTCAACTTATTTGTGATATGATTTTAATAATAAATTATTAAATTATATTATATATTATAATTTAATAATTAGATTTCAAAAAGAAATTATATAAAATAAAACGGAAGGTCCTTTGGAAGAGATTATTGCTCTAACGGTAAGACCGATATACTTAAAAAATGTGACATTATTATTTTTATGATGTGTGCTGTGAATGTATAAAAGATTCTACTTTCTATATTTATGTATTTTTAGGTCTTAAATAAAGTGTCAAATTAAAATATGTACTTATTCGTAACATGCAAGTACATTAATGTATTTAAACTTGCCACAACATGTGCACACAGCATGATCCAATAATAAATGCGATTGCAACAAAGCCATTCGGTTGCAACTATTAGTGATAAAAATTAAACATAAAAAAGAATGTTAAATAAAAAACAAAACAAAATAAAAGATAATTAAGAAACGTCTAAATATTACATTATTCAAATAGTTTTATACAATTGTCTGCGATATTGATTATAATTGAGTCCAAATATATCAAGATCAGATTGATGAGCGTTACTATATGATCTACACATATTCGCTATAGGGTTATTTAAAGAAATATTATTTCTATAAAGAGGCACGTAAAAGTACGTTGAAGACGAATTCGGCCATTTGTATAAAAATTAATTCCAAAAGTTTAGGACAATCCACAATTGAGTTTACAATCTGATATAGGTACAGTAATTCCTTTATTTTTCTTCCTTTAGTTAAAGATAATATTTTGAAATATTTTATTTTCATAGTCTCTAAGCTTTCTTTTTAATCCATACCTATAGGAGATTGATTGGTTAAAGTGACGGAGTGATGGCATTTATTATTATTGCACTGTGCAGCATCACAAGAATATGGCAACATTCCAATGGTGTGCCGGAGCGCAGTGGGCGGCCGCCGCGCCGACTCCTCCGTTACTTCCGCCGCCGAGACACGGACCACCACAAAGTTTCTGCCGTCTAACTCCACAGACAGGTAAAGTTCTCCACAAACGACAATAAGGATTGCGTTGCTTTAATGTATTCTAGGTGCACTTTATATTATTATTATTATATCATCCGTTAACTGTCCACAGCTGAACATAAGCCTTCCCCATATGAGGTATAGAGATTGGTAAAGAGTTTTGCTAACTACTGGCAAATCACTAAACCACGCTTGTCAGGCGGGTTGGCAACCGCAATTAGGCTTTGGTGATGTTTTAAGAGGGACGCTGCTGCCCATCTCTCGATCATAAAATTCCCTTAATTCAAAAATTCAAAATTCAAAATTCAAAAATCATTTATTCATGTAGGACATTTTAGCCGCTTATGAACGTCAAATTTTTACATTATAATTTTATATTTTCCCTACCGTCCAGTTCGGTATATAGATCCAATTGAGAAGAACTGGCAAGAAACTCAATTGAATTACTTTTTTTTTTTAAAGCCAGTTTATTTACAATGTATATTTATATAGGTGTCTATGTCTAACATTAAATGAAAATTCAGTGCATGAACAACTATTGCCATGCACACTCGTCATTCAAGTAATCGTTTAGTGAGTAATAGGCTTTGCTCAGTAAATATGATTTAACAGATGTTTTGAATTTATTTAAGGGTAATTCCAACATATCCTTTGGTATCTTATTGTAAATTTTTATACCTATTCCCATAAAAGACCTATTAACTTTTTCTAAACGATACTTGGGGACAGCAAGTTTGTCTTTAAATCTAGTATTAATATTATGAATATTGCTGTTTTTTGGAAATAAGTCAAGATTTTTATGAACATATAGAATATTTGAATATATAAATTGAGAAGCAACGGTGAGAATATTTGCCTCTTTGAATTTCTCTCTTAATGAGTCACGACTCTTCATACAGTAGATTGCTCGAACGGCACGTTTTTGTAATATGAATATATTCTTAATATCTGCCGCTTTTCCCCATAGTAATATTCCATAAGAGAGTAAACTATGAAAATAACTAAAATAGACTAATCTAGCAGTATCAGTATCAGTGTACTGTCTAACTTTACGCACGGCAAAAGCTGCTGAACTTAGTTTCGCTGCAAGGCTTTGAATTTGTGCACCCCATTGTGTTTTATTATCTAGTGTGATTCCTAGAAAGACAGTAGATTCTATAAATTCGAGAGATTCGTCATTTAATTTAATATTGCTATTAGTATTAAAACTTTTAGACAGAGAGAAATTAACACATTTTGTTTTTTTAGCGTTTAACATAAGATTGTTAGTTGTAAACCAGTGCAGGAGACGCCGCAAAGCACTATTTACATGTCTCTTACAACACTCACGGGAAAGGAAGAGGTGGCCTATTCTATGCCGGGACCACACGGGAGTGTATATGAGTTTCCCAAAGGTTGACTGGTAGAGTATGCTACTAGCATTAAGTCCACTTTTTCTTCTTTTGATCAAGAAAATTATTTAAATAAATTATATAAATACATACATGAACGTTAAAACCGACATACATATATTCTCTGTTACAGACTGCTAAGTTCAGTTGAAGGCAATTCAATAGACGACGACACAGCCTCGGAAACGGACGACAAGCCTATCATCTGGGAGACATCGTTTACAGAGCCCAAGACCAACAGCGTGGAGCCACAGCAGAACGGGGAGAATGGACCCGCCGTGAGTATCACACCACATACGGGGTAGGCAGAGAGCTTAGTACTACCAGGCTCTAACATAAAAATAAGTTTTTTTTTTTTGTGTATTACGCGACATTTCGTTTTCATATTATAAACTGATTTTAATGTTTATTGAATAAAGAAAGTACAGTTAATCTCATGTTAAACCTATATTTAAAAAAAAAAAACTAGTATTGTAGAACAAGGAATCAGAGATGCCCAATACTTGTTATAATAAAGAAAGCTGTCGTGACAAAATTCGTAAGAATATTTTAGCATTTAGACAACAAAAGATTACTTCGCAATTTGAATAAATGGTTAGGTACTATATGGGTAACTAAAAAAAATGTTATAACATTTTTTTTATGCTACTTAGAATGGCAAACAAGCTGACGGTCCACCTGGTGGAAAGTGACAACTGTCGCCTATAAACATGAGCAGTACCATGCACATAACAGAGTATACTGTTTCGCCCATGATACCCCCCATGCGTTGCCATTCCTGAGGACTCAGGTGTAATTCCTCTGTACCCACTAAATTCACGCCATATCCCACCCTTCAAACCGAAATACAGCCATGCAAACACAGCTGCTTCACGGTTGAAACACGAATGGGACAGAGGTACCCAAGCAATCGACTTTTGTACAAAGTCTCCTTCTGGTATATTAATCGAATGAGTTATTATTATGCATCAAGTATATAAATTTACATACATAAAGTGATTATGAATTGATTAATCTCTTGTTTCCCGCAGGTCGACAAACTTATTAGCATTACACCAACCTCACCCAAACCCCCGGAGAACGTATTATCAAAAGCAATCGACTCCACTGTCATAGATAAGACGAACCATAAAAACACATTAGTGCCAGAACGTAAGACTGCCCCCATCGCCTCCCCCGACCCACCGCGAATCAACGCACGGCCGTCAAAAGACCCGCCAAAGTTAGCCCCAAAACTAAAACCACTATGTTTAGACGCGGCACAGTTAGAACAAAATCTGAACGCGTTGAAAAAGAACAGTGGCTCAGTGAATTTAACTACAATGAACATTTTACCCCCGTATATAAATGTAGTTACGCCAAATAAGCTATCAGAATCGAAAACTATACAAATAGATCCGAAGAAAGCCGTTATAGACGATCTGCAGACCCTGAAAGAGGAGGTTAAAGAAGAGAAAGTGAAACTAAAACAGTCTAATTCCGCTGCGAGCCTGTTGAACGGACCTATGACGGATGTACCCTACGCGGATAGCGATAATGCATCGTCGAGTTCAGGTAGCAATGCGCAGAACCTTATAAATCAGAAGAATAAGAAGAATTATACAGAGGTAGTGGTCGGGAATGATAATAGGAGTAAAGTAATAAAACAGGGTAGCAACGGTGGCGATTGCGTCGGGGACTCTGAGATTAGCTGTTAATTACATGATTTTGTATGTTCCGTTGTTAGCTAGGTGGATCACAATACCGATATTTACAAATGCTACAATAGTCACTTGTACAATAATCATTTGTAAGTAAATTGTTTGACTGAGGCTGTGCAAGGTTATCATCAACTTTTATTCCTGTCAAGTATGGGCTGTGTATCGTGATTCCTTTGCTATTCAGCGATAAATGAAAGGTGGGAAAATTTATGGAGTCAGTTATTAAATTTAGAATCGACAAAAATTTCTAAACACAATGTTGCTTAGATTTTTTTTAATAATGTATTTTTTTTCCTATTGTTTTATGTATAAAATGGCTACGACACGACGGCAATTGATGATAACTCTTCACTGCTTTTCCAAAATACCTAAATTAAAACATTACCAATTTACTAAAACCGAAATAGTGAAAAATAACTAAAATATACTCACTACTGTGGTCGAGTAAAAATTGTGAAATAAATTTAATTTTGTGAATTCAATTTAGTTTTAGTCAAATATGGAAAATGCCTAAACACGAGGGTGTCTAAAAAAGTTGCTTATTGAAATTGTTGGACTGTCTGTGACGTTGTTGTGATGAAAGAATCCAGTGCCGCCAATAAGGACGTTCTATTTTTAATTAGTGGAAATAAAGTTATCTAAATTTAGGTGTACATATTAATAATACGTTTTAATAAATAGCGACTGTAATATTAAACAGAGGAGATGATTTTTGTGTGGACATTGAAGTAAATCATAATATATATAATATAACAATTAATTTCGGGACATTTGTATTTTTGCCACAATTGTACAAAAAGTTGTTTTTATTAAGGGATGAATGGAGGATTATGTAAATTTATTTGTGTGAGGAAAAAAAAATGAAAATGGCTTCCTGATATCGCTTATAGTTAAAATAGACGATTATTGTTGCTCAATTTGCTCAATATTTTGCGAAAGGTAGTTCAAACAAATACGAGGACCGTTAGTCTTTTCTACTTTTAGATATTCTCGGAACTCAGTTGTGAAATGTTTGTAAAGAGTTTTATATGGTTCGCTTTGTAGCATTTATGTTTTTTGTTGTATAATCAGAATTTTGAGAGACTACAATTAAACTTTCGATACTACTCTAAACATATTGTGGAAAACAAACGCACACCGCACTGGTAACAGCTTTTAGAATATCTTGATGAAATTAATATAAGGCCAATGAAACGAATTAATGAACTATATTGAATTTTTGTTGGTACGTGCCTGAGAACATTTCGCGTAAATTAAATTATTCCAGTAACACTGTGACATCAGTGGCTCAGAAAAGACGACATTCTTTAGTAGAATTCCTAAAAAATGACGTCTTTCAGATATCACAATGCTACTTGAATACACTTAACACCTTTCACGGTAACAAGCAAGTTATATTTATACAAACACCTTACATATCTTAAAATATGTCTATACTTCACATCACAACGTTCAATATAAAAAAAAATGGTTAACTTATACAAAATTATTTCCATTTCGTAAAATTTATATCGTTATCTTGTAAATATCTCAATATTTTGTTATTGCGCGACACGTTCTCAGTGAACTATATGATTTTGTACTAGATTATTATAGTAACATCGTAGTAACGCTTAAAATGTTTGTAAATAATATTTAAAAAAAAATGTAGTGATTTGTGTAAATCCGCCCCGAAAGAACATATAGGTACACGAATAATTATAATAAAAGTATAAAGAAGTTATGTTTTTGTAGTATATAGGATATGTAAATGAACGGTGTTAAGTTATAAAGAAAGATTTTATGTACGTCGGGTACTACAGTTTATCATAATTTTGTTGTTAATAGGAAAAAAATAAAAAATAAAATATTGGTTACCAATTGTCATCATCTGTATTAGAACGACCGTTATAAGGGAGTATACACTAAATTATTAAATATAGTTTTATTATATATTATATGAATTTAAAAAAAATACAATGTGTGTTATCACATAAGTGGATGCTTTAATTAAACTGTAAGATAGATTTTAAGGGAATCTATAGCGAAAATTATTTGAAATTTATATTAAACGTTACTTTTTTCATTCAATCAGAGTAGTGCCAGTTTTGTTTTAATACTGCCTAAAAGAGAACGCATTTATTTTTGTTTGTTTTCTTTTTATTTTATTATAATTGGGCATGAAATGACAGGGTATCATGGTTATTACGTTGTATTGTCATCGAGTTATTTATCAGGACTTATAATTGTTATAATAATGTTCCACAGAAAACTAATTCAGCGAATCCAAGTTTGTTTTGAACTAAATTATTTTCACACAAACTAAATTAAATTGAAACATAGTTTGTAGAGATAATTTAGTTCAAGCGATCTTGAACTAAATATAATAGAATAATTATTATTATTTTATATTAATTATGTACTAAATGTATTAAAAACGAATTATTTAATTATCGAAAATCAAATCAATAAGTATCAAAACAAAATTTATAGAATGATTGCTTTTATTACAACATTGAACTAAATTTATTCTTTAGCTGAATTTTTTTTTTACAAAAAGATATCCCAAATACTAATGCTCGGGAAATTTAAATTAAAGACTTTTCTTTGTAATGTATAACTAACTTTTTTTTTTATCAACCCCTGCAAAGACACTTTTATCAAATAATTTCATATATATTTGTATAGGTGCAAGTCAAATTATCTGGCAGAGTTAAATTTTAAACGAAACATTTTTAGATTTACAGTTTTTATACATCGTCAGTCGTTCGTCGTGTGGTCCCGGCATAGAATAAGCCACCCCTTATTCTATGCCGGGACCACAGGGCGAGGCGACTAAGGGAGGGCGAGGGATGAACAGCAACGTCCCTCTTAAAACATCTCAAAAGACTAACTGTAGTTGCAATGCGCCTGCCAAGTGTGGCAACTATTGGTTATTTGGTACTATTATGTTATGTATGAGGTTAAAGTGGATTGGCTACCGCACTTAGGCTTTAAGAAGGGCTGCTGCCCATCCCTCGTCCGCCTTTAATCGCCTTTTCCGACACCGACGACGAAAAGGAAGGAGTGGCCTATTTTTCGCCGATGGAGCACACGTCGCTAGGTCGAGTCGTTTTTTTGATAACCAAATCTTTCTCACAGAGCATTATATTAGACAAAATTACTTTGTTAAAATAAAAAATGTAGTTAACAACTTTGCCAGATCTAGATAAATCTTATAAAAAATTGTCAGTCACGACAATTTTTCTACTACCTAGTCTAAAACTATAGATAATATACATCTAGATGGGGCGTCGAATGTCAAATGAGGTCCTAAAACGATCAACTCAACTGTTGGCAGACACGTACTTAAAAAAAAAGAAACAATAAAATACGCGGCATTTTTAATCATTCCACGTGATACCTAACTGTATTTGTGTGTAGTGTTGTTTATGGTAGAAATTACCTCACACGAAATAAAAAAAAAGGTAACCTGTTTTTAGTGAAATATTTGCAGATAGACGCTGTATCTAGAAGTATATGGTCTAATCTAAATTACGTATTGTAATTTTTCTACTACTCATACTTTATCTTGAATACCATTAATACGACTTGTAAGTTTTATTTCACGAATAACGTTTTATTGTCACTTCTGTAACGTTGCTCAATTTAGAATTATTCTTTTTGAATTAGAAGAAAAAATCTTCTCTCTTTAAAAAAAAAACTTTTTTTAATTAAAAAAAAAAAGAGAAATGTGGTTGTGACGTAAGTATAGTTACGGATGAAAAAAAGCGAAAAGAAGAAAAGTTCCTTTAAAATTCGAAGCGAGTGACTCTGAAATGTTATTCTCCTTGATTATTTTCTTTATATATAAAATAATTCTTAAACATTGAATACTTTGAACAACGAAACGTTAAAAGGATAAAATTATTTGGTTTCCCATAAAAACGCAGGTGTTGTTTTGTCGAAATACATCCACCATGACCCCCTTTTGTATATGAGAAAGAGTTAGTGTGTTATATATGCTATGTAATAGTAAAGCACGTTTGTATATGATACATAAATATAAAGTACGAAGTCGCATGTAAAATTTATAAAATAACAATAAAACAAAAAGTGTAATTGATATTCAAAAATAAAATCATTAATAATAAATGTAAATCTCTCGTTTTATTTGCATTTTCTTGCGCTTTTTTTTTTATTTGAATTAAAAGTAATCTAACAGATGTTTGTTTTTTTTTAAGATCGTTCAGAATTTAGTGTGGCAACATTGTAATTATCTGTCAATTTTCAAAAACAATGAACTTGATTGTTTAAAAAGTTATATACGAACGATTTAAACTTTTATCACGCGATAATATTGTTATTAGGCTGTTACTGGAAATTTTGTTTTCGATGGTAAAAATGTATTTGAAACATTCCGAAGCAAAATATAAAGCAGGTTTTTATCAATACTTACTAGATTCTGTATAAAAGCAATTTGCTTGGGTACCTCTGTCTCATTCGTGTTTTTACTGTGAAGCAGTTGTTTTTGTATGGCTGTGTTTCAGTTTGAAGGGTAGGATATGGCGTGAATTTACTGGTAATTATATATAATTATAATTTACTGGTTACTTACTAGTCACTTTTTTCATTTAGAAAATTCCCCATTCGGAGTGGTACAAATAAAAAGAAATATAGCATATTTTTTGTATTTCAATTATTCAAATATGTAATTATTACACTATTAATTATTATTGTTATCACCGCCACTTGGTAAAAGGTGAACTCCCATTTTTTGTCACACCAATGTAGACCCCTATCGCGCCTTCATGGACCTCTGGGGGTCCACCGAAACCACTTTGGGAACTAAGAACTTATCTAATGAAGTACAGAAATTTACAATGAAAGGAGAGGAAAAAATAAAATAAGGTTTAAATTGTTTTATATCGTTTTTATTAATTTTCTTTTAAACAATATTTTTTATGAAACACTAAACATTGAAAGGGCATTACAAATCTTATCGAACTTCGAGTTCTTAAAAGTACAAACTCATAGAAAGCTGATCACTACTCTAACGTGTATTATTGACAATAAACAATACAAATTACGCGGGAAAACTCGATGCTACTATTTTTTTTTTTCAGTATACAGTCATGGGTACGAGTCTTTTTGGATATTTGCGTAAATGTTTCATTTGAGTATATTATGCCTTTTGATCTAATAACAATACAAATTTCGAAAACGTAAGGATTAAACCATTTTTGTTTAAAGTCAAACCTTTAATAAACCTGTTTTAGCTACCCATACTTTGCCTTTTGCTTCAAATTCTCAATTTGAAAGAAAGAGACAAAATACTCTGATAGTTAAAATAGGTTTGTAGAACATTTTCAATTTCATATGAATGTGGGGGTACTGTCGACTTATTTTAAAAAAGCTACATAATAATCCTAGTCTTTTGAACAGTAATAAAACAATTTATTATTGCGTTTTGTTTAATAATTTGTCAGCAATTAAAAAAAAATTGGATACATGTTTTGGACGGAAATAACCAAATTTCATTTTTGAAACAACGTATATAAATAGCAATTAGTATATATTATTTGGATATTCTGATAACAATGATAAAGGCTTGTAAGAATAAAAATAATTTAGCCGTTTGTTTAAACGTAATAATAACAAGAGTCATCACTCCATCACTCTAACCGCCTGATCCTCAAGCTAGGTTACCATTTTTGTGAAACCGAGCAACGAGTAACTGAGGGCACGTTCCAAAACACGCAGACGCGAGCCAATTCAGAAATAGTTGTTTCCCATACTGACACGATCGGAAATCGAACCAGGGCTTTTTATGTACGCAATGCAACGTGCTCACCACCACGCCACGGAGATCGCCATCATCATCTGAGGCATTCTTTTTATTTAACGGTACATACGTTGTTTCTTAAGCAAATTACTAATATTCGAGTGGACGTACATAATTATGAGATCGAAAATGGTAACCAATGATATTTTAATAATGTATTTATAACACTTACAAGTACACCGTGGTGTACTTGCATACCCGATATATGCAGGCACCCTTATTAAAAAAGATTGGCTATGTAAACCACATCCGAACAAAGCAATGTCAACACCAGACCTCTATGCAAACAATTAATAATAGCGGAGTCAAAGTGATCACCGTGACTGTAAACGGTCAGGACTCATCATCATCATCATCATCACACTTACAAAGATATTTTGGTATTAATTAATTCACACCGTCCTCGGGGAGTCAATGGTAACTTGCATCACCATAGCTTTAATATTGTACCACATTTAGGATATACGAAAATTAATACTTCCTGTAGGTGTCGTAATAGGCAACTAAGGAAAGACGCAGAATGGGCAGCAACGTCCCTCTTAAAACATCTCTAAAGCCTAACTGCGGTTGTTAATCCACTCGCCAAGCATGGCAACTACTGGTAAACCACCCCAAGGGAGAGGTTTATGTTCAGCAGTGGACTGTTAGGGGCTGATATGATAAATGTGTCAGAATTGATATATTTTTTTATTAAAACATCATTGATTACACACAAAAAGGCAATAATTATGAAACATTTTAGAAAAGTAAATTATTATCTAATTTCCATTGAGTATTACAAAGTTCATAAATAAAACCAATTAACCCCATACAAAAATAACGAAATCCATAAATAAAAAACAATTTCAAAAATTCTTAGATTGATTATACATATTATTATTGTTTTTTTTTTCTTTGCTACATTTAACACTAAACTTACTAAACACGCACATTGGATTATCAATTCACCTCAATTGTTACAATTTTAACAGTACAACTAACACTTGTCACTAAACTAAAAATTAGGATCATTTTTAACTTGGAAAAGTATTTACAGCGGTAGTTTACCTACTGTACACATTTTTTTATAATTTTTTATTCTTTGTAAGACAAAGGCAGGAATCATACATCCAAGTTTTTAATTGTCAATCTGAATAGATAATGATACGCATTTAGTAAGTTTAATTTTATCCACAGAATATGTATTAGGATTAGGTATGTGATGATTGTATTGCACAAAATTAAAAATTAAAAAGAGTATATATTTTAGAAAAAAAAAAAAAACTACAACTAAACACTAAATTATATCGCTGTATGAATGATATGAGCAATTTATTTGAATACAAATACAAATTTTATAATAATGCTTTACTTAAAGCATCCAATGTATATATATTGGATATTTATAATAGAGAAAATAATCTTAATAGAATGACATACAATTATTGATATCAAATAACGCTATAATTATCACATTTAATTTCCATTATCTTTCAACGAATAGAGATATACTTACAAAAAAAAAGTAATCTACATAGTAAATCCAATAAAAAAAAACATATTTTTAATTCATTGCTGTACTTCTCCAAGATGTCTTCGACATTTGTGCGAATCGATAAATATAGAAATAATGTAAGATCATTATGTAATAACTAATAATTGCATCACCCCAAAATCCATTCGTTTAATTTACAAAAAAGTCAAAATTAAAAATAATATGACTGATAAGAATTAAAAAAAAGTAGCAATTGAGGTACATTTGAATTGAACCTGCATAAAATCACAAATATTCATGCGAATTTATAATTTAAATAATGTAAAATGAATTTTTTTTTTATATAACTTAAGCATATATCTATTCTATACAAAAAAAAAAATGTTAAATTGCTATTCTTCAATAATTCAAAGATACCTCTAATTGCACATACAAAAAAGTTTGAACAAAACGCAATCCTCCATCTTTGTTCATGGTGTTTTGGCGCGAAAACTGATCTATCATGTTTGACAGATAACTTTATAAAAACTGCAACTGGCAAACGCAACGGGGCGTACTCTAAACTCGCTAATGATACAACACTAACCTCACTATGATATTTATCGTAAATAATTTTATTAATATTACGAATAATTTATAGACAATACAAATACAAACAAATTCGTTTCATCATACATTCACATCTGGACCTTGCACGCACATTATCACATTATGCCATCGTATTGTCGACTTTAAGCGGTCGCGTTAGAAGTCGTTGTCGCTCGAATGGTCGTAGTTCTCTGTTATTTGCGTGGGCGGTGGTTGGTAGCGAAGACTTGTAGACACAAGTACGGGCCCATGGAACGACTGAGAACGTAGGACACTGCTGGGAATGAATTAAAAATAAATCATAATTATTAATTATGATTTATTTTACTACATAAGTCTCCGTATTAACGGAGACTTATGTAGTATGATATTATGTAAATATATGTAGTATATAAAGATCCCAAAAGCATATAAACATAGATAAAGAATAGTACCAACGTTCCTCATTTAAACCTAAGCTTCGTAGACGATCAAGTAACTTGGACATTTGTAAAATAAAAACATTGGAGAACTTCTTTCTCTGTCCTTCAAAAGACAATATATGAGTGTTTGTATTAAGCCGCTTGACCGTTTACTGATTTTATCTGGATCCACATCATACTATCGCTCTCGGTCTGGTAAAATATTTTTACGTAAGAAATATGTGTACTCACTCTACAATCCAGTCCCGTTCCAATCAATATCGGATTGTTTGTACTGACCATATCAAGAGCGGCAGTGTAGGGGGATCCGGCCTTCAAAGGTTTAAATTGGTATAAGTCAATTCTACCAAATTAAAGACCTTACGTCACCCGTTTCATTAAGTTATATTGAAATAGACAATTCTTGTGCTTCATGCGTCATAGGATAGTACGTCACTAAAACTGAATTTATGATCATAATTTTTCAAAACACTTAATCATCACAAAAAAAAAAAAATTATGAGTATTATTAATACACAGATAAGTGTCGACTCCAAAAACTCATTTGATTCAGTAACTTTTTTTTACAATTAAACCAGTCTCAGTTACATCTATACTATGCTACAATGCATGAAGTATAAATTATTTATATTTTTATGTAAAAAGACAAATATACAAAAGAAAAGAACTAGATTGAACTGAAAAGTATAGCTTTCACCTTTTTTTATCTTGGTAATAATTTCAATCTTAGATTATATAGATAGTCTCCATATAAACGTTTAGCCAAAAACAGATCAAATTTTTTATCTATGGGTGCGTGAATAGGGTTGCCATAATGTAAATTTATTACTCAATGTACCAGAGAAATTATATTGTATAATTAAATTAAAAAATAAAGATAATACAAAATTATAACAAATTTACTTGAAAGTACAAGACTAACAGTGCATAATGATCCGTAACGATGCTTATCTTTATTGAATACTTTGATTTATATACATTTCTACAGCATGGGGTTCTTCAAAAAGGGGGTAAAGAGGTTTCTTCAGGGTCGGCAACGCGCGCGTAATACCTCTGGTATTGCAGGCGTTCATAGGCTACGGTAACCGCTTACCATCAGGTGGGCCGTATGCGTGTTTGCCACCTCAGTGGTATAAAAAAAACATATGTTTTCGTTTTAAATAATTGAAAATGGCTACCTTTTTAAATAATATAAGTATATATACTAATTTGTAAGTAATGTATTGTATATGTATTTATATTATAATGGAACAATTAAAATTTATAAAACTGACTCGGTCCGGGAAATTTTTATTCAATTACTGGCAACAATGAAAGAAAAACGTCAAATTAGCAAACAAATTTTTTGACATTTTATACTCTATCTACATAATCTAAGATTTAACATATATACGGGCATTGAACGGCTATATCCATAATATCAAGTGTCCGTTCATACAGACTGGCTCGGAGAGATCTCACTTCGTCGAGAGCCCACAAAAAAGTAAAATGTAAAAATAAACCTTATTTCAATGAATTACAAATAAATTTTGATCACCATCACAATCTGCTCCCCTCTCCGAGCCGGTCCTGTGTGAACGGATACTTAGCTTCAACAACTGCTTCGTTTAGTGCTTGTAAAATGTTACCAGACGTTAACAACACCCAAACGAAAGTTTTATGATGGACTGTACATATTGTTGTTTATCAATATATTGTTCGACCAAAACCAAAATAATGTATAATGTAAAGAATATGCAATTAGAAAATGAAAAAAAAAATCATGATCGTAAAAATGCATTTATAAGAATAATGCATACATCTTTTAGTCTTATTGAGAAAAACAAAACATGTAATATAAATATTGTAAATATAAAAAAAAAAAAAACATGTAAATGTATATACAAATAAAAGCAGTATTCAAAGTTTAAAGAAAAACATTATATTACAATCTATAAGCAAGAGTAAATAGCTATTTATCTTGATTTTTCATATTATACTAAAAATTTATATATATAAATATGCAATTTTTCGCTTTGAATTCAAAAGACGTAGAAATATACATATCGAATCCCTAAATAGTAACAAATTTCAAATATAAAAAATGCCAATTACAAAAAAAAAAGACGAAAAAGAAATGAAAAACCAAGACGTAAACTGTTGTTAAAATAGAAAGCGCCCAAAAAGCATTGCGGTACATTTTGTCTTTGATCCACTCTATTCTTTATGATACCTAACAGCATAGACAATGTCATCTAGTAAAATATGGGTAAACAACTCTATGACTTAGGATTATTTAGAAACATTTAGTTTAAATTGAACGCGATGCGACAATACGTAATTGTTTGTTGTTATACTTTAAATAAGACACCCGCAGAAAAATAATTTTCAAGTTACAAGCCTCTTATACATGACGTTGGCAGAAATGGGCGTAAAAATGGCGACCGATTGCCATTGATAAAAAAAAGAAGAAACTAACTATTTTGTAGGCAGTCTTTATATTCACCGTAGGATCCTTTCATCGTTACTCATGCAAGCAAAATCACGGTTTACACCTAGTCAATCATTAATAATCAGTTAATGATTAAAGATTGATCTTATTACTTCTGCCCTCTACTTTTCGAATTTATAAAATGGTAAAAAACTGTTTTCTTCTATAGTGCCTTCAATAAATTTTATATGGCAACACTGTACTTTAATATGTAATTATTTCAGACTTATTGGAGGAATCTATTGAAGCAAATATTATATAACTATATAACATATACACGACAAACGTCATTTTATCCCCTACTGCCATCTACCGGCAAATTTTTTATCGGGATAAAACTATCTTCCTTATTGAAGCAAACAATTCACTTTTACATAATTTTACTGAAATAAATCGCTCGGTTTCGGATATTAGCATGAACGAACATCGTAATACGGGATTTTTATAAATTAAGATGTACTTTTGACTGAACTGATATGTTCTTTCTTCCCTGAGGATAGCCATGTACATTTATAATGGCCTAACAAAGTTTTAAAAAATACATAAAAATATTTTAGGGTTCACCAACGTCGTTTCATCATATATTCACATCTGAACCTTGCACGCACCTTATCACATTATGCCATTGTATTATCGACTTTAAGGGGTCGCGTTAGAATATGGTACATCATTGTGCAAGTGCTTAATTCCAATTACGCTATTTTTAAGCACCTACCACTTTGTGTAATACCATTTTTAAAAGCAGGCTTCAATAAATATTAAATGTGCGAAAGCATTTGATACCGTGTGCGATAGCCTTCAGATGACATTTACTGACGTCAGCTGTCAACTTGACATGTAACTAACCTTACGAAACAAGATGGCTGCCCACTTATCACTTTGGCCATATTTGCATGCACTTTGACATCTGTCACGCTCTAAAATATCAAAATTTACAATAAAACTGTTAGATTTTGTTAATAAAATTAAATAATACACACGTTCTGTTAGAACTACCATTATTCTTTCCAATCCCTAAATTAGTTAATCGAAAAAAAAATCATATTAATGTAATATTAATTTACAAAACCAAGGCTTACTAAGTATATAATACATATGGGAATGAATATTATTAATACTATTAAATCAAACTAAAAGTACAATAAAAAAAAATGTTAAAGGTAATAAAATATTAGTAATCATGTATAAAAAAATATTTTCTTTTTCTACGAAATAGGTGCAACAAAAACAAACTTTTTTAAAAATATTTAATGCAAAAGAAGAAATATCATACGGTCTTATCATCACAGATTAGTTAAGCTGTACACTCTTTTTACCGTATTTTTAGATACAGACTAATAGTATAACGAGGCACCTACCTGGCAGTTTTTGGCGGCGTTTTATTTGTTTTTCCGAGCGCCGCGGCTTTTCTCGGATCGTATGATGCTCTTCGTTTCCACTTCTCTAATTCTTGCTTCTTTTGTTCTGTAACACAAATATGGCGCCAATTGTAGTAATGTTATAATTCGAGTAAGGACGGTGAACTCGCACCTTACCACGTTGGATTAGAAATATGCTCAGTAAAAGCAGTGCTGTACACTTTCTTTAATAACGTGACTTCTATCACAGTTGGGTATACCCAAATATTTAAGCTGGAGTAATAAACCCTGTATAAATCTTGCACAGATCTTTTCTAAAAATTTTCTTTAATAAATTCTCGAATATGTAAATATAACATTGATTTGCGCAAATTGCAGTATTGCGCCATTTTTTAATTGGCAAACGCAAGTCTTACCAGGGTCTCGCCACGAGTAATTCTTGCGAACTCTCAAACCTGTTATTACACAAAGAGTTTTATCAATTTAATGACGATGTGCAGTCGTCTTGTCAGTGTTTCTCCTGTCATAGCGGAGCAACTATCCTTTGAGTACACTCTAGAACTAGAAATATTTAAAGACATTTTTACCCCTTACTTTCACCGTGTGTGCCCCGGCATAAAGTGGCCATCCCTTCTTTTTTCGTGGGTGTCGTTACAGGCGACTAAAGCAAGGCGAGGGATGGGCAGCAGCGTCCCTCTTAAAACGTTCTCAAAGGTCTAACTGCGGTTACCAACCCACCTGCCAAACGTGGCAACTACTGGCAAAATCCCCCTTATGGGGAAGGCTTATGTCCAGTAGTGGATAGTTAACGACTGAAATAATAAATCCCTTACTAATGTTACCTCTGTTACGACCAATACTTCTGTTGGACAGCATCTCAATGTAAGATTTACTCGGGTCCACCTAAAGAATTTCTTGAGTGTACTTTTGAAGTTCTAAATATATAAAGCCACTTACCCATTTCGTAGTGCTGTGCACTCCCCTTACTGACATTACCCCTGTCACAATTAGGCAGCACCCCAACGTAGGTCTTGCTCGGATCTCGCCGCAAGAAGTTCTTGGGCGAGCTCTCTGACTTATATTTGGATATGTCGAGATAACGAGGCTGGATCTCTTTGGGCCGCTTCTGGCTTATAGAGGTCGTCGACGAGGACATTGAATAGTCACCGCTGTACCTGGAATATAATAATAATAGTATATAAGAGCATCTGTATGGGGAAGTCTGAAAGATGCTCCAATAACAGAGAAGTTCCCAAGTAAAGAATTGTCTTGATTTAAAGAATAAATATAAACTTGCAAAGGTTCGGGGTTCTTTGGTCGTAAGGTACGACTATACGGCCAAAGATCGTCGAAAGATCGATGGACTGTAATAGTGACTCCAATCATTAACGTAACGACAAGTTACGACATATTTCGTACGTATTATATTGTACCTAAATATTGCGCATTCTCACATATTGCTTAGGGAAAAAGAGTTTTTTAGTCTACAAAGAAAACGGTACCCAAAGAAAGCTTCAATCGTCACAAAATAAAAATGTTACAAACAGGAATAAACCCTGTCGATTAAAAAAAGAATTGTGAAAATCGGTTTTGAATAGACAACCTGATCACGTAACATAGATATAAATTCAGACCAATTCAGAACTTCCTTTTTTGGGATACGCTTAAAAAACAACAACATTCTTCTTACCTCTGTTTGGCCTGCGCAGGCGCCCTCTTCCCGGCCGGGTGGCGCATCACCACCGGCGCACTCTCCGTCCCGCTCTCGCCCTCCGTGTCACTAGTGCCGGTCGTCAGCGAATTCTTCTCGTGGCTGAATATCGAGGAGTTCCTCGGACTACTGCCGTTAGTCGTCGAATTCGTATCGCTGTCCAGAATGAACGTTTTCCGCTTGTCTACGGCCTCGTCCCTTTTGGGCAGGAAGTCTACGTTGTCTTTGGTCGGGGTGATGTCGTCAATTATGAATGTTTTCCGTTTGTCGGGGTCGCGGCGTTTTGTCTTGTCTGGTTGCTGATTTACCTGTAAAATGTCGATATTAAACTATAAGGGTGATGATGCAGTGAATTTCTTAATGCAGTGAAAATAGAATGGTAAACTTGTCTATGCTATGGATATATGCTAGTGGGGTATAATTGAGTAATAATTAGGCATTGGTAATATCGAAAACTGAACTACATATTGGGTTTTTCTGGACACTGATGGCAAACAAGGTCATCACCCATTTAGATATCGTCCATTTCGATATCACCCATATCGGTTGGATATCTATTTTCGAATATATTAAAAGTCTTGTTACCCAATATTATTTTTTGGATGACGGACCAATATATAGATATTATAATTAAAATATATGGATATTGCTATATATTGCCTACCCCTAGTAATGATAGATGAGGATGAAGTCAGATTAATTGACTCATCACAGCAAATTCACTAGGTATTAACCACGATGGTTTTTCGGGGGCACCACGCATGAAGGTTGACCTAAGCTAGCAATGTAGAATAACTTCCTTTTTGTTAACAATTCCTCGTAACTGATGCAGCCATGGGAAGATGACATCAACTTCTACTATTAGATGACCACCCCCCCCCCCACCGCACGACAACATGTGATATTACTGTCATCCGCAGATCAAATCTCCCTTATTTTAATGACCTAATTTATAAATAGCCACGGCCTTTTAGATTATAAATGATTGGTGGTGAAGAGACATAAAATCTGATGAAAAATTACCTGGAAGTTGGTTATATAGTCCCGGGCTAGCACAACTTCGTTGTTCATCGCCTGCCGTCTCAGGTTCTCTCTGTTTGTTCTCAAGTCCAGGATGTCGGAGTGGGTCGATGTGATCATGGGGTCCACTGGTAGGGCCAGCATCTGATCGTCCTCCTCGGAGGAGTAGTCCAGGGTCTCTAGGTCAGCGATGTTAGTCGTATGGAACGATTGTGACCGATGTACCGGAGACGAGTGACTGGAATGAATTAGAATTCAAGAATTACACATTATGGCTTCCAAAGGGTGTCGCTTAGAGGTCGACCTAATACCCTATATTGGAGAAGGGATTGTTAGTAATGGGGAGGTTAGTTCCCATTGCTATCAATCTATCAGGTCGATCTCCACGCGGTTCTCCCTGGAAACCATCGTGACTATATCGGGTACACAATTTATAAAAAAGATTACTACACTAGGCTCGCAGACCTGTATCATAGTAGTCAGTGAGTGGCTAATTAAGTTAGTTCATATTTATTGCCATTTACAGTCCTCAGCATCAAACATCGAAGATATAGCATCAAACCTCAAGAACGGGTCAACTTTTTGTCAGCTATTGTCAAATTAGCCGACTCCTTTTTTTATCAGTGTTCTATGTATATACTTACGCATACAATTTATCCTGAAGTATCTATATTTTATTATTTAATAAAAAAAATAGTTTTTACGCTTTAAAAAGATGCAAAAATTATAAGACAAAATAAATATAGAAATATAAATAAAAGAAACAAACATAACTATTTATCACGTAAAATTGTATGAAAAAGTTGACCCGCTTTTCTTGAAATATTTGTATGGAGACGTTCTATCTATATAATCTAAAGTTGGGACATACTTGGGTGAATTTTTTTTAATGTCTGATAATGGAGTGGTAACCCCGCCTGTGCTATTGGTATACACTGGCGGGGCACCAGTGAAGGATGATCGGGGCGGATGAAAAGGGAGATCAGTTAGCCTATTATTTAGTTTATTAGTCACGATGGTTTCCCGGGGGAACCGCGTGCAGGTCGACCTGATAGGATATATTGATAGCAATGGGAATTAACCTCCCAATTGATAACAAACCTGGGTGAACTTAGAGCGTCCTTGTTATCCTGCCTCTTGGCTAGTTGCTGCCGCCGCTTGCCCTCCTGGGCCGCCTTCATGGGGTCGTACGAGGAGCGTTTCTTCCAGTTGGAGAACTCGATCTCTTTGGTGGCGAGGGCGGAAGACGACCGGTGCTGGCTGGGCTTCTTTTGACCTGAAATCATTATTTTAATTATGAGTAAAATAAAAAAAAAATAGACAAATTTATCAGTTCTTAATTTAAAACGATTGTTTAATTATCATCAGGTCAGTCATTAACTGTCCAGTGCTGATCATAAGCCTTCCCCATGAGGGAAATTATACCAGTAGTTTGTTTTTTATACAACTTAGAAGGGCAAACAAACTGTCGGCCCACCTGATGGAAAGTGGTAACCGTCGCCTATAGACATCAGCAGTACCATGGACATAACAGAGTATACTGTTTCGCCTATGATACCCCCCCCCCCCATGCGTTGACGTTTAGCCTGTGTTTCTTTTTTACAACACAGCGGGCAAACGAGCATGCGGCTCACCTGATGGTAAGTGACTACCGCCGCCCATGATCACCCACAACGCCAACGGCATTGCAGGTGTGCTTTCAAAAGGAATATGCTCTTTTCTTCAGGGTTATGATGTCGTATCGGTTCAGAAATACTGTGTCTGTACATTTATCAATTATCTATACTGTAATTAATCCAATTTTCGTTAACTATATGTGGTACCTTATTGTTTGCCATATACTGTTAATTATTAAGTTACTACAGCTGTAAACTTGACTCAAAAATAATAAATTTATAATTTTAGTAAGGATCCATAATAATTGATTAATTCGACTAAATTAAGACAATTGTAATGCCTTATTTGGAGGGGGAGGGATTGTCAGTAATGGGGTCTAACTGACCCATTGCCAGCAATACACCTTATCAGATCGACCACCACGCGGTTCCCCCTTAAAAATATCGTGGTTATATACGGATTCCGCTAGAATTCTAGCGGAATCCGTCACGATGGGCTAACTGACGTGCTTTCATCGTCACCTTTCACTGGTGCCACGCCATCGTATACCGATAGCACAGGCGGAGTTACCAATCCATTATCACCCAATAAAAAAATTGCCTCATTTTGTAGTTATCATTAACTATAAATTGTTTGTTTGTTTCAAATAATATAAATAATCGTTGAAATTTGATAACGTAAATATTTAAAAATATTTAACTCTTATCTGTATATTTTTAGATTACATGGTAATTGTTGTTCGTTCATTAAGATTTGAAAATATTGTTAGCTATATGTGAAGGAAATAATTATGCTAGTGGTGAACGAACGAGGGAGGGGGGGGGGAGAGGTTCTACACTGGGCCTCTGTCCCGGGGAGTCTTTTAAGCAACCTAGAATGACAAACAAGCTGACGGCCCACCTGATGGAAAGTGGTAACCGTCACCTATAAACATGAGTAATGAACATTTTACAGGTTACTCCGTTAATTGTGGACCGATTTTAAACATTCTATTTCTTTTTGGTAATTTATTGCCAGAATAAGATTTGTATGAAGAAAAATGTTTGACAATCATACACGAAATAGCCAGAAATTTTGGCCACTGCTGCCCACCTCTCAACCATTACGTTTTCTTAGTGGCCGCTTACGTCACGCACGGGAAAGGAAACGGTGGCCCATTCTATACGTTTATCATCATCACATCATCATCATCATCATCATCTCAACAATTATCTGTCCACTGCTGGACATAGGCCTGCCCCGTAGACTGCCATCAGGAACAGTTTTGAGCCACCTGCTTCCACTGATTCCCTGCAATACATTTGAGGCTATCACTCCTATACCTGGTATAAACCAGGGTTCGCCGATATATATCACCGAATATACATATATCATGTTATATATGTTATATTGATTTTTATCTTGATAAATATTAATAGATTTTTTTCTGTTTTCTGAACTAAACATTTTGAAGATAAATATTTACCCTGGCAACACTACAATTCAGAATAATTTAGATTGTTTCTCAAAATGGCTACCTCATAAAAATAATAATATTATTATAATAATAGGTACTTGTTTTTTTAATTGTTCATTGAAATAATACTTCTCAAATAACACTATAAATAACAAATAACACTAAGTAATTCTGGTGCCGCTATTTATGCCGCTGGTGTTGTGGGTGATCATGGGCGGCGGTAGTCACTTACCATCGGGTGAGCCGCATGCTCGTTTGCCCCCAGTGTTGTAATAATTTGATACTTATTTTATTTTACAAATTCCTTTCACATTTTTAAGCGTGTAATCACCTTACAGAATGAAATTTGCTTCTTTTTCTTAGCTGGGATATATATCTATATATATATATATGTGTATATATATATATATATATATGTGTATATATATATATATAAATCGGATTTTTTTTAACTCTGGTTTATAGACTTTAATAAATTATTTCCATTAGAAAAGGAATCATCAAAATCGATGCATTTTAATCAGTAGAATTGCGTAAAAATCTAGTCGAATTAACAGCCCGCTCCTAGTTCTCGAAGTTGGTTGGTTTATTAATGTTTTGGTTGCAAATCACCACTTGTACCTACTATGTGGCGGGCAATCATCACGACTGCTCATGTAACACAGTCATTATCCTTGATATAAACACAAACGGCGAGTGAACGGCAAACATTGTCAATATGATACGCTTGCCACATAGCTAGCTAAACAAGTACAGCCATCAGCCTATTAATCATTTATCTATTATTTATTTATTTCAACTTTAATGTACAAATATATATTACTAGCGGCCCGGTACGTGCTTCACTACGTATAAAGTGATTTAATAAATATATATATATATATATATATATATATATATATATATATATATATATATATATATATATATATATATATATATATATATATATATATATATATATATATATATATATATATTATACATTTGAACAATTCTGTCAACACTGAAAAAAGTTTCAATTTGACAGCACAATTCCCATCCTAAAAAAAGTTTGAAATTGACACAAAAATCCCCATTAACAAAATGATCCGCCATTTATTGAATTAATTTGTTACAAAAAATGTGATAAATGAAGAACCGCTCGACCGGTTTTGTGCAAACTTCACATAAACCATCTACTAAATAGTCCGAACAAAGTCTAAACATTTGGTTTGGATAGGTGAGCCCGTTCTTGAGTTATAAAATTACAACGAAAAGTGGCATTAATTTTTACATATGTATATAGATAAGTAAGTGTACATATAGCGGATATAACACCTAATGGCATTCTATATTATTTACTATATTTTTATCTATTATTTACTGTATATTTATCTGTTAACCACCAGTGACTTCGTGCGGGTAGTTAAAGTTTTCAAAAATAACGAGTGACACAGACTACATGCCTCAAATATATGGAAGGAATAGGGAAAAGCCTATATATTTTATAGAACTTAGAATGGCAAACAAGCTGACGGCCCATTTGATGGAAAGTGGTAACAGTTACCTATAGACATGAGCAGTACCATGGACATAACAGAGTATACTGTTTCGCCCATGATACCCCCCATGCGTTGCCATTCCTGAGGACTCAGGTGTTATTCCTGTGTACCCTGTAAATTCACGCCATATCCCACCCTTCAAACCGAAACACAGCCATGCAAACACAACTGCTTCACGGTAGAATCGCGAATGGGACAGAGGTACCCAAGCAATCGACTTTTGTACAAAGTCTCAAAATATATATACAAAAGAAATAGCTTTATTAAGATTGTGTTCCACAAAAAGAACCGACTTCATTTGCAGTACAACCTGATAATTTAATTTTAAAACTAAACAACTGAAGCGATAATGATGAAATTCCTATGAGACCAATCTTTAAGTAAGTATACAACCGAATTTAAAACCTCCTCTTTGCAGTCGGTTAAAAATATCACAAAACATGGTTTTCTGTGAAAGTTTGTAGTCACATTTTTTCAGACTAACGGTAGAGAGATATACATAAAAATAAACTGTCGTACGAACTAGTTACAGTTAACGTTAATAAGTTTTTGTTAAAATATAATGCAAAAAAGTTATATACCATTAAGTCTAGTCTTAATGGCATATAACTTTCACCGTTGGTTTTACAGCTGTGCATTGAACAATTCCAACATGGCGGCGTGATAAGCCAGGCCGTTGAGTTACCTAAAATATGGTTTAGCTCAATGATAGCTGGCTCACCCGTCATACTCGTGAACGGATGCTGCTTGTGGGGACCATTCTGTTCATGTTTATTTATTTTCCATTTAATAATACAAATAAATAGAGCTGAATTCTAATTATTGTCACAGTAGCCATGCAATAATATATTTGCAGCCTAGCGTAGGAATCAATGTTAAACTCTGTGCTTATAAAAACATACTTTTTTTTATACAACTTAGTATGGTAAACAAGCTGACGGCCCACCTGATGGAAAGTGGTAACCGTCGCCTATAGACATGAGCAGTACCATGGACATAACAGAGTATACTGTTTCGCCTATGATACCCCCCATGCGTTGCCATTCCTGAGGACTCAGGTGTTATTCCTCTGTGCTCAGTAAATTCACGCCATATCCCACCCTTCAAACCGAAACACAGCCATGTAAACACAACTGCTTCACGGTAGAAAAACGAATGGAACAGAGGTACCCAAGCAATCGACTTTTGTACGAAGTCTCCCTCTGGTAAAGTATTGTAAGTAATGTATTTATTACCAAAGTCTCACTTTGGTAATAAATACATTTTACTTTTCTTTTTTATACATAATACATCGAAAAGAGTAACTGTTGAGTTTCTTGCGGGCTTTTCTCAGCATATAACATCTCGAACCCAGTAGTACAATCATAGAAATTTGACAATTTAGAAGAGCTTGTAAATAAGTCTATTTTTTTTTATGGGTGAATATGGTATGGTAACCCCGCCTGCGCTAACGGGATACGATGTTTCCAGGGACAACCGCGAGGAGGTCGACCTGGTTCGGAATATTGCTAGCAATGGGATTCTCAGTCTCCATTACTAACAATCCCTTTCCCCCTAAATAATAAGTCTATTTGAATAAAGATTATTTCCATTGTAAATAAAAAAACAGTATTTATATGGCTGGTCGTGTTTCGGTTTGAAGGGTGGGATATGGTAGTGAATTAACAGGGTTATATCCATGGTACTGCTCATGTTTACAGGCGACGGTTACCACTTTCCATCAGGTGGGCTGTCAGCTTGTTTGCCATTCTAAGTTATATAAAAAAAAAGTCATAAAAGAGATAGAAAGAGATAGAAAAAGAGAGAGAGAATGCAACTCTCGCGTCAAGTTAACAAGAAAATTATCTACACAACTCACCTTTTTCTTGATTTTTATTCGTCGGCAACTCCCTCGTGGACGACCTGGATTTAGTCAGCCTATTCAATACAGCTTGTCTTGTTGGCTCTGATATTCTACGACTTTGATGGTTAGTCGGCTTCCCTCTGTCTTCCCTTGCAACTGGGGGCTCAGACATCCTCGTGTTAATAAGCCTATCTTTGTTTGTCACCCTACCGGAGTTTCTCACAAGCCCCGGCCCAAACTTCCTTTGCATTTCCGGAGTGTTAGGACATCTCGGAGAGTTCGCTGGGGCGATCGACTTCAAATCAGGCGAGTCTATCCTGCCTCGATGTACAGGCCTCTTATACCTCAACTCCTGCGATTTATGAAATGAACCATTATCAGACTCATCAGATAAATAATCATCTTTATACTCGTCTGAATGACCGCTGGATCTCCTAAACACATTTCTGCTAGGATCCAAATAATTGTTATTCTTATTAACTGTATTGAAAGAACTAGACCGCTTGATTGAGGATCCAAACGCAACATTGTTGGGCTTTTTCCCATCACTGAACACTCTTTGGTGCTTCTTGTCTCCTTGGCAACGTGTTTGATCAATCCTCGGATACTTAGAATCTAAGGCGTTGTTCTTGAGTACAGTCTTTAGACTTACAGTTTGATTCGCGTTATTCGCATCCGTGCAGAATTCCGGTGTGTTTCTACCTTCGAACGTTCTGTGACGCGTGTGTGCTTTTCTTGCAGGCGACAGTAACGTATTGACGTCGTATGGCGGTTTATTTGATAGTGTCTTATCGTCCGAACTATTACTTAGAAGGCCTCTCTCAGAACAAGGACTGTTCATGTTGGAATCGCGGCTTCTCCGCCTCTCGGTGTCTAAAGATCTTGACGCAGCATTCAAGAGTATTTTGGTGCTTTCGGGAATTTTCGAAGAGCCCGTTATGACGTAATGTCCTGGACTTCTCAGTGGGCTACTGTCGTTGGAAGTGTCTTTTCTTCTCAGACGATAATTCAATGAGTTAGATCTACTTAGTTGTGACACAGGAAGCCGGGAGACAGCTGTTTTCTCGCTGATGAGACTGGAGGTGAGTTGGGAGGGAATGTTCGAGAAATTGTTAGTCCTTGACGATTGGATCTTCGCTTGTAGATTTGTTATAGCGTTTTGTGTCTTCAACAAATAAGATTCGGTGTCCTGAACTGGAATTAGGTCCTGAAACAATAAAACAGAAGGATTGAAATACCCATGTCTTTATATATCATACTGGATACAACAATAAAACATGAGAGATGGATTCTCAATAATAAAATTCAGGTAGAAACTATTCACATACTTTTTTATTAAAAAATATATATAAATAAGTTATGTTAATAACACTAATTCACAGTCATAGCAATAATAATAATTTAAGACAAAATTAATATGAGGCTTAAGGATCGAGAGATGGACAGCAACGTCCCTCTCAAAATATCACCAAAGCCTAACTGCGGTTGCCAACCGCCTGCCAAGCGTGGCAACTATTGGCAACACCTCCCATTTTATGAGTGAGGCATATAACGGCTGATATGATGATGATAAAAATCAATATAAAACCAACAGCCTTGCTATGCAAGATTTTCGATTAAATATACATATAATAAATAACAAAAGACCATTCATAGCCATTCCTGAGGACTGAGGTGTTATTTATGACTGCGTACGCTGTAATTTCACAGCCATATCTCACCATACAGATCTAAATAGATTTGCATGGAACTTTTGGGGGGCAAATACTAAAGTGCCATAACAAAAGCGCTTTATGGGAAATATCACGCGGAACCAAACGCGTGACCTCCAAATTTGAGTCACAAACGTTGCGTATTGTAATTATTACGTTAACAATAAAACAATAATAACTCCGAATAACGTTCAAAACTTTATATGTAACGACCGACATTGGGAAATATCTTTTTTGTTCATATTGTAGTATGTATCTTATTTTTTTCATGCAACTTAGAATGGCAAACAAGCTGACGGCCCACCTGATGGAAAGTGGTAACCGTCGTCTACAGACATGAGCAGCACCATGGACATAACAGAGTATACTGTTTCATCCATGATACCCCCCATGCGTTGCCATTTGTGAGGACTCTAGTGTTATTTCTCTATGTCCTGTAAATTTACTGCTTATCCCAACCTTCAAACCGAGGGAAAAAGGGATTATTAGTAATGGGGTCAAATAGCCCTATTACTAGCAATATACCCTGTCAGGTCGACCTCCACGTGGTTCCCCCTGGAAACCATCGTGGCTAAATCTAGTTGAATTCGTTAGGATGGGCTAACTGGCCTGCTTTCATCCTCATCAGTCATCTATCACTGGTACCCCGCCAGCGTATACCGATAGCGCAGGCGGGGTTACCATACCATTATCACCCATTAAAAAAACCCTTCAAACCGAAACACAGTCAGATCCTTTTTGAAAAATCTGAGCGTGCTAAAGTCCCAATTTGAAAGAAAGTGACAGAACATTTGAATACCTAAGGTACAAACTATAGATTTTGTGTAGATTTTAGTTTTTATGGATCAATGGGTATACGCGTAAATTATTCCGAAATTATTTATCAGGAAATATAAACAATTTATATTAATAAGATTTAACCTCCATTGTTTAGTATGCATGAGAGATATGTATGACTTTAGAGATTGTTATCTGAGATTACAAATCATAGATTATACTATGATAAATATACAGACACGACTCGAGACTTCGTGAGCGGCCAATTTTTTATATCACAAAGGTGGTAAACAAGCGTATAACCTATTTAACGATAAACAGTCATTGTTTAAATGTTTTATTCATACTATCTTTATGAATACATAATGAAAATTTAATTAAATCAGTTATCTATTTAATCGTCTTTAAAAATAAATATTAATCGTATTTTGTTATATATATATATATATATATTTATAAAAAAATTATCGTTGTATTTCAATGTGATATTAGATAAGAAACGGCTGCTCACGTAATACTGGAATGTGAAGCTGTGGCCCATCAACGTTAAGAAATCCTCGCAACGGTGAGGTCGCTCCGTGAGGCCTGTGAAGATCCCAGGAAGCTTCTGCGCTTCTGGGCGGAGCTAGGTTGGCTGTACTAGCCACGACTCATACGCACAACGGCCCAAATTAGATGTTAAGCGCGGAAAATAGAGTCCAATTTACATTACATTACATTCAATGTGATATTCCGACTCGTATTTCCTTACTAGCTTTTTGTTTTTTTCTGTGTATTATTTCAAATAATTTATTTCTTACTTCTTTTTCAATTATTGGGATTATATAGTATATTATATAATAGTATAGTTTATTTATGTTGAAGTTTTAATACTGGCTGTTGACACTAAGTTTTTTTTTTTTAGAACAATGTATTATTTTTAAGTTTGTTCTATGTCAGATTTTTATAAGACATGTCGCGTATTTTTTTTTCATTAAACTTATTATTTTATATCTCAAATACATATATGTTTTATTACTGCATCCTGCTATTTACAACAATTTATCAATCATATTTATATTAAATAATAAATAATACTTCCATTTGGAAATATAGACAAAAGCATATTGATTATATTTAAAGATTGCGTTCCACAAAAACTAGACTTCAATTGTTACAAATGTTATTTTGATTTAAAAACTAAACTACAGAACGGATTTTGATAAAATTTCTATGGGACCGATCTGTAAGTATATCCTTTCATTAAAAAAAAAAAAGAATTTTCCAAAACGGTTTAGAACTGAGGGAGTTACGAAACCTAAAAAAATACAGGCGAACTGAGAACCATTTTATTTTTGAGGTTAGTTGAAAGATAAAAATGCTTATTTTCAAACTTCAAAACGAAGATAAATATATACATACAAACATATATGTCACGCTCGCCTCCCGTTAGAGTAGGCAAATAGATAATCGCATCCGGGTCCCCAACATTATGGCGCGGCGAGGGATGCCGTGGTGGTTTTAGCCGGTAGGAGTCCGGCAGTACCCATACGTCTCCGCCGGGGCGTATGGGTCTGCATGATACATTTCCCCACGATAAAAAAAATAAATAAAAAAGGCAAATAGATAATAAATCTTTAATTTAAAGGTTATATATAACACAAATTAAATTAAATTCATAAAAGAGATTAAAACATGGGAGAATGCAACTCTCGCGTCAAGTCAGTGAATAACGTAGCGTGTAACAGTCCCGAAGGTACGGTTTCGGACGCAAATTGACTCATCCATAATAAATAAAGTTCACCGGGGAAGATAAATTTTTAATATGAATTTTAAATAGGGTAATAATGAGGGGGACCCATTAATTCACACTATCTATAGAGATCTAAAGAGAGAAGAGATTATCATAAGAGAAAACATCGTAATTTTCAGAATATATATAATAGATTTCTTTTTATAACACTGAGGTGGTAAACGAGCATACGGCCCACCTGATGGTAAGTGGTTACAGTAGAGTATACTGTTTCGCCCATGATACTCTCCACGCGTTGCCATTCCTGAGGACTCAGATATTATGTCTGTATCCTGCTTATCTATATTATTTATACTTCAGCATGCCAAAGTGTGGTGAACTCATCCATATTGTTAGAAATGATCAATATATATTACATTGATATCTTTATTAGTATTTACAATTACAATATTAGTTACACACACACACACACATATATATATATATATATATATATATATATATATATATATAGGTTGACTGGAAGAGATCGCTCTTAGCAATAAGGTCGCCCATTGTTTTCTCAGTGTGAACATTTCTTGTAATTGTTTATATCTATAATAAGTTTACTATTGTAATCTTTTGGAGGAAACAATAAAGAGTATCTATCTGTCTATATATAAAGACATCAAACAGTGACAAATACAGATAATGAGAACTTAAAAGTGGAAAATTGGATGAGATACACAAATACAAATATACAAATAGGAATATTAAACAATATATTAATTTTGATGGAAACTTGAGTGTTTTAGGAAATTTAAGGGGTGACCTATTCCATGCTGGGACCTTAATAATAAGGACTTAATAACACCAAGTTAAAATTGAACATATTGTTTCATACCTATATTTAGTTTAGTTGCAAATAAAATATGTCACATCTGCAGCAATTATTTTATCTATGACTAGCGGCCCGTCCCGGCTTCGCGCGGGTGGACATTTTTACAACATTATAAAAAGTGATTATTGTGACATAACGATAATAGTTGGACATATAGTATCGCGGAGTTTTTTGTAGTTATTGATATTTTCTTCAAAATTGTACAACATACTTTTGTTCTATCACCAATAGTTTCCGCAGCGCACGCGACGATAAATATAGCATTTTTTTACACCTTGAGTTACGTTACTAAAGTTTTAGTAAGCATCCCTAATCTTTTCTAGCAATAAATATAGCCTATGTTAATCAGGGTGAATGTGACTTTCTAATGGTTAAAAAATTTTTAAAATCGGCAAAGTAGTTTTTGAGTTTATTCATTACAAACATACATACATACAAAAATACAAATCTTCCCTCTTTATAGTTTTAGTCTATGATGTAATTTATTTCTGTGTCTAAGTTTTAGTTGCGAGTGTCGTGTCGTGTCGCGTCGTGTTGTGTTGTCTGACGAATGCGTGAGTAACACACATTGAAATTAATTGCGAAACCTTACTGATTGCTAACAGGAAAAGTGTTAACTGGGCCGCCGACATGTAAAACTTGCGGTTTGGATGATGCGTGTATTGATATTGTTATTGTTGTCATATTTTGTCTGTGGTGGTTAGAAAACGAAAGTAATGCAACGTAACAGTTGCATAATGTGTTATGGCCTCCCTTTACAGATCAGCGGCCATTTTGTTTTAATAATAACAATAATTTATTTGTTTGAAATGCGGTCTTTTTTTATACAACTTAGAATGGCAAACAAGCTGACGGCCCACCTGATGGAAAGTGGTAACCGTCGCGTATAGACATGAGCAGTACCATGGACATAACAGAGTATACTGTTTCGCCCATGATACCACCCCCATGCGTTGCCTGAGGACTCAGGTGTTTATTCCTCTGTAGCCTGTAAATTCACTATTATATTTTATATTCACTATTATATTATACTAGCTGACTCGGCAAACGTTGTTTTACCATATACATTATTTCGAGAACTATACATGAAAATTTATCGTACTACA